CAGGCTCGAGTCGCCTGACACGCTCACGCTTCGTTACGAAGAAGCTGCTCGAGCAGCGAACGGGGGAGACCCAAGAGGGGACTCCCCTCCTAGGCTCTTAGAGATGGCGACCTACACAAAGGCCCAGCTGCCCTCGATGCATGGTGAGTAGACTGGTTTTAGTTCCAAGTGACGCAAGTCATGAGTGCTTCAAGCGTCGACTTGAAGACACTAGGGGATGGAAGCTACTATTCAAGCAGTTTGCTAATACATGACAGCCGGTTACGATGCAACTCGATATCAGGATGCTAGCTATGAGCAGTATTCGGCCCAGTCATTCCCTACACAGCAACAGACTGAAAAGTTTGCCCAGCTGAACCAGCAAAACTTTGCGTCCAACAATGCCGCTGTTCCTCAGTATATGCCTGCGGGCCCTACAGTGCTGTCATGCCAACCTACGACAGGTATGGTAGGAACTAAGATCTTTATCAAGGTCTCCTCGCAGTACGATCTATTCTCTCTCTCATCACCGATGCCAATATGGTTCCTCCTGTTTGGATCAGAGAAGTGCACAGCGCAGGATGTGTCCAGAGATGTGCAAGACAGCTCTGGCTTTCTTTATACTTGCAGTGGAGAAGCACCGCAATTTTTGGTCACAGGCTGCGCCAACAGCAACGTGCCGTTGTCACTCCTTCTCGAAGGGCCTTCGGGAGAAGAGATCTCGCGGACCGTTGTAGGCACTTTTCAGTATTTTGAAGGGTCGGGAGATGACATCACGCGGTCAACTAAGATACCCAAGCATGAGGACGCGGCACCTGCCCCTGCAGTAGATCAGCCGAGTACCTCACCCAAGGCTGGCGAGCCTCAGCTGCCTTCAGAGCCTCCTACAAATACCTACGAGTATCCAGCTCAACATGGACAGTATGGCAACACATTTGCGCAAGGAAATAACGATATGCTTAGCACATACAGGAGCACGAGCTTCACCGACCCTCACTACCACCGGCGTCCGGCGCCGACGGCGGGATGGAGCCCCTACCCGAGCACCCTGGGGAGCACGGGGAGGAACTCGGCGGCAGGCTTGGACCCGACAATGACGGGACGCCCAAACTTGACGCCACTGCCGATACCATCCTCATCTCAGTCTGGCACACCGCAGTTGATTCGAACAAGCACCATCGCCAACAGTGCTGGAAGCAACTCGAGCTACCATCCCATCTCTCTTTACTCGAGCAAGGCGGTGCTCAAGATTGCGGGAAAGCTGGAGACCATGGCGGAGAACTGGACACAGGAGGAGTGGGAGAATCGTCGACGCATCGTCCTCTTCCGTAAGACTCAGAGAGGATCGACCCTCAACGCAACCTTCCAGCCTGTGGGTGTCCAAGACCGACCCCCAAACAGTGTCTGCATTTCATGCATCTGGTGGGCTGAGAAGAATGAGTGCTACGTCACCTCGGTCGACACTATCTATCTTCTCGAGCAACTGGTGGCCGCCCCAAACCGATTCAGCGTCGAGGAGAAGAACCGGATCCGACGCAACCTCGAGGGTTTCCACCCTCAGACAGTATCCAAGGCCAAGGCAGAGAGCGAGGAGTTCTTCAAGATCATCATGGCATTTCCTAACCCCAAGCCCCGCAACATTGAGAAGGACGTCAAGGTGTTCCCGTGGAAGATTCTCGAGTCAGCTCTCAAGAAGATCATCGGCAAGTACAGCGCGAGCCCTAGCAGCACACTCCCACCGGCCAACATCATGAACCAACCGAGTGCTCCATACGCTCCGCTCCCCACGCCTCCTGGACCGGGCATGGCTTCACACACCGACCCCCACCAGCAATACAACCTTCCTCAGCATCACGATTCGATTCCCTCTCCCCGGTCGCTATCGGGTTCTCAGCCGAGCTGGACCCCATATGCCGCAGCACCTGGATACTCAACAACCACCTCTCGAACCCTCAGCCCCGGCCTACGCAACTCTAGCCCACAGCAGCCGCAGCCTCCCTTGCGCATCACCACCACGCCCCTGCCGGCGGTTTCGACTTACGACAGCCGAAGTGGAGGATATGGGGCGACAGGGCTACACACGCCGATTAGCCACCACCCGCCTACTGCGACGCCCCCAAGATGGGACCCTACGCCCGCAACATATCCCGAGAGCTACCCCAGCCTGACATCGCAGACGGCTCAGCCAGTATACAGCACAGGAGGATACGGCGAGCCGGCACCCAGGGCATGAACAGGCTACAAGGCCTTGTCCCCCTCGGCATTATCGGATGACCACTCAGGCCCAGCCTCTTCAGCTCGTGTTCCTACCTTCAGACCTTGATTCACCGTGTCTGGAGGCCGTATTGGACAGCCTCGTGAACACTGGGGAGGAGGGTCGCGGGGGCGAGTCAGGTGTCGTGGCGCACACCAATCAAGGGCCTTGCCAGGACACCATCTCGGGTGGGAGGCAGCCCTCTCAGCTCAACAGTGGCCTTGATATGCGGCCTTCAGCCTCTTGAAGGTGGGGAGTGATGGCGCCATTGGTCGTGCAGGTGGTGGCTGTGATACCTGGGGGACGCACGATACGCGCCGTCCCCCCCTTGGCGGCTGGCCTGAAGCTGCCTACAACGACCAAGACGACGTCAACGCTTTGTCTCTCGGGGGATGTCGCAAGTCTCGGGCTCCGTCCACTTCTCTAGCGTGTGCTGGAAGTGGTCATGGGGTCGCAGCGGCTCACCATGTCAACCACCCTCTTCATGAGCCGGCGCTATGGCCAGGACTATCCAAACCTCCCTTGTCACGATCAAGCCTAGCGGCGGCTGCGGCAAGGAAAAAATGGAACCAGTCCAACCACGTCTTGGCGGGTAGATCCGTCAAGCACAAACAGGGATCAGCTGTGGACTTTTTGGCTCGGCCACACCACCACGCCCGGGCTTCTCTTCTGAGCTTCTTCTGCACGGCGCTTCTAGGCGTCCTCGCACGGATCCATCCTTTGGATCAGAGTCGTCATGCTCAAGTCATTACATGCACCTCGACAAGGTTGAGGCTGCATCTTTCCCCTTTCATATTATGTCTTGCGAATTAATGATGCCATTTTGGTCATGTACTACGGTCCGGTATTATAGATTTCGACCGTTTTTGCTCTTGTATTCTTGATTCAATTTCCTTATTTGGGACTGGGTATGTACGTCCCTGGGATCTAGTAACATAGATGGTTTGTTCATGTACTCGTATGGAAGGCTACGAGATAGATGGGATGGGATAGGACAGGACAGGATGGGATGGTCGGTATTACGGATATGATTGGAATGTCGAACAGTGGTTGTCATGAAGGAATGGGTTCAGACAGGATATGTGGGTTCAACCATAGTTACCGGGATTTCATGTTGTTTGTTTTGGAGGATCTTCATCAATAGGCATTATACCCTTCGTGTGCATTCATTCCTACCTACGCCTCATGTTTTTGCATTGTCTCTTTACTTGGTCTTTTATGGAAGGGGTCTTGGGCACGTAGACGGGCAGGGGTTTATTGCATCAATGGGAAACGGGAATACACGCGGAATTTGGGAGGAATGGGCACCATTCTATGATAGATTACCAGGTACTGGGTAATAATAATCTCTGGAGCAACCGTCACGTCCATCACGCTCGTGTTTTGATTAAGGGTCTCATGGTGATGGGAGCACGGAATGACGGGTGCATTCCACTCGGAGATGCTGTCACGGGAGCGCCGGGACGCAAGATGATATGATGGCTTCGCAACAGACAGACACTAGGAGAACAAAGAATAGAAGGTTTGATTGCGACGTGTGACGGGCGGGCAAAAGTTGAGCACGGCCCTTGCTGGTTTGATGTAAGTTTTCCCCGGGGTGGAAGGGCGGGCGGCCGCGTGGGATGGACGGGCGAGGCATGTGGTGAGATTGCGCGTGGGCGGTGAAAAATGATGGAGGGGCGTGTCACACGGTGTTGTAGTTGGGGTGGAGTATCTTGTTTTTGTTTGCTCAAAGTTGAAATGGAGGGATGGAAAAGGGAGAGTGTTGTTTGCTTGTGGTATGATCTGTTGATTGTTTGCTGCTTTGGAAACTTGTTTACGAGGTTGGGGTCTGGGTGGTGGCTCTCAGGGGTCTCACGTGACGCGCAAGTAAACAGCCAAGCCAGTATACCCACAACAATTGCATTGTATCAAGCATTGGTCATAGGCTCTGTGCAGTTAGTAATCACTTGTACTAGATCTCATTTGGAATTGTGAAGTTGAGTATCCTGTGTCTGTTCCGTAATCTGATCCTTGCTAAGGCAGATGGTCTCATCACAATGAGCGTGGGATGGGGAGATGATAGGCGGTTCTGGTTGGCAAGGAGGGATAAGTAATCAAAGTAGAATACATCTAGACTTTACAATAGGGTCTGGCGATTCTTGTGGATTGTAGCCCCATTACACCTCGATCCGGTATAAAGTTGTTGAACCTGTATCGATGTATGAATTCACACACATAGATAACGGCTTCACTCAGCTTATTCTACTTCTATTTTGTTAACCAGGCCTAGAGTCAGGGCTTGATTTCATTTAGGCTCTATCTTCCCTGGTCGATATACCTGTGATAACGAGTCTGATCCATGCCAGTGATAAACTTGAGTATCTGAGCCTTAACCATCCAAGCAAGTGATGAACCCCCAGACTACTATTTAGATTATCTTGGATCTTTTGCAGTAAATATGATGAAAATACCTCTGCACCAAGTCAGACAACGCTTTCTCAACAAAACCCTATGTCAAACCAAGAACTTCATCATTATAACCCCTAATTCTTCCCCTGCCAATTTCAAATGTCAGGAGTTTTCCAAGTCTTTCTGAGCTTTGCTGGCACGATAACAGTAAAATGGCTTATGGAAGCTTGAGAATTGTATCCTCATTGGTAAGAAATTTGTTGATTATAATAGGGGGAACCATCGTCAATCCTCGAGTATGAACTATGCTTGACAAGTTCGAGGGGCAACAATATGGTCTGATAGTTGGTCATTGACACCGTCATGACCTCAAGATGAAGATTACGATGTCATTATCATTCTACCCTTGGAGAAGGTACTGGCCCACACTAAGTAGGTTTTTGAATCGCTAGACAAGAGTACAAGTCAAGTTGTGATGGAACGTCATCTTCCTCTGGGTCGTGTCCAGGTTATCGGGCAAAGACGAGCTTGAGATGTAGAGTCGACAGCATAGAAAAACCTAGAGAGCCAATGGCACGTTCGGCCTTTGAACTGCAGCTGTGATGGCGAATCTTGGCCACACATAACGCTGTGTGTTGTTTGCTGCCAGGGTCAAAACAACGACTGATCTAAAGGATTGTATTCACTACCATTCAAACAAGAGCTCAACTCGACACTTTTCTCTTGTCTTGATTTAAGCCGCATTCTGCACCTGCACCTCGCCATTGGCCAGACCGAAATAGGCGGCAACGGGCTTCTGTGCTTGCAACTGCTTGCCCAGCTTGACAGCCTCGTCACCGTTGAAGCCGTGGAAGAGGCCAATCTCGACGATGCCGGGCAACCGGACCAACTCCTGGGCGAGGGCGTTGATCTCCCAGACACCATCCTTTCCTTGACCGTCAACTTCGGAGGTGATGTCCTTGGCAAGGAGCAAAGGAGGGAACGGGGCGTCAATCAGCCACATGCCGTTGTCAGTGACGCACTCGCCAGCCTTGCTGGGGAGACCTGAGCGGACGACAGGGTTGGGAGAGCCCATGGCTCGAAGACGGGTCAGGACATCAGGGGCAGCCATAGGGAGGACCTCGATGGGGATGGTCTTCCATGTGGTGCACAGTCGGGGAGACTGCTTTCGGTAGTCTATCGAGGTCAGTTTCTCTTACCGACATGACATACTCAGCAAAAGCGTACCAGCCACGGCAATGAACTTCTTGGCCGCAATGGCCACGAGCTTCTCTTGGAACAGACAAGCACCACCACCCTTGATAAGGTTGAGGTCCTCATCGACCTCGTCGGCGCCGTCAAAGGCAACATCGAGGGCGACAGGGACGCCATCGACAGTAGGCCTCTCGTCAAGGATGGCCAGCTTCAGGCCAGCAGCACGGATGAGGCCCTTGGACTGACTTCCGGTAGGAATAAAGGTCATGCCACCGTAAAACTCGGGCCCCTTGCTGACAATGGCCTCGACGACGTAGACCACGGTGCTGCCGGAGCCGATACCGACATACTTGTACTCGGGAAGAAGGTGATCATTGACGGCCTGGTAAGCGGCCTGCTTCTTGGCCGACTCGACGAGGTTTGCTGAAGACATGGCTCTTGATTGAATGGTGCTTGCAGCTGAGGCTGAGACCTTGGCTACGCCTGCGTATGAGAGTTGATGATGATATGATGGTGGATTTGTTCGGTGGGCGCCGCTGTTGTTTATAGATGAGGGGTGGTGGGGAGATTCAATCACGTTGTGTAGGGTAGATGGCTGATGAGGGAATTAGCGATTGGATGTTAAGATTTATGCTAAATAAATCTACAGGCTCAGAGCGTCAGAGTTTTTGTGGAAACTCACTCTTGTTGCAATGGGAATGTTTCTTGATGATGATGAGGCTCTGCTTTGTAAGAGCTGATGCGGTTTGGTCAGCTTGCATATGCCTGCTCGACTGGAGAGGGACGCCGCGTGAGAGCGAAGGAGAGAGATATTCAGCATGATTAATGGACACGGCAATGTATAACATCAATTCTTATAGTTGACTTGACCAATACCGGAACGAGGGCGTCCACGATAGCATCCGGCTTCGGAAGGCGTTTTCTTTCATCCATCCATCCCGTCTTTTATTTTTATTTTTTTCCTTTTTGGCGGCTCGCATTGGCTCTTGGAGAAAAGGTGGCTGCAATCAATTAAACCCGCGTCATGCCCAATAGCCCCGCGACGCGTTTTGACGCGTCGCTCCTTCTCTGTACTGTAGCGCGCCTGCCTTTCTTCCCCCACATGCATAACCCATGTCCGTGCCTTCCCCTGGCAACCAAAACCTCCCCCCTCGATATCAACATCCACCAAATTCAAGGCCTCATCGCAGTTGATTCTAATCACCAACCGCCGCCATGGCTACCCCCAGCGATGCCGGATTCATGATGTCCGACGCCCCCTCGAGGGCTGCCGCAACTCCCCGGCGAAACTTTGGCTTCCCCTCGTCCTCTGCATCTCGACCGCGAGGCCCGCCCTCGGAGAACCTGGGAGCGCCCAGTGAAGATGGCTTCGCCGATGATCAAGTCCCGCGGAGCTCCAGAATTCCCAATACCGCCGAGATCTCACGCGTGGAGGATCGAATTGGCTTGCTGGTTCAGGAACACTTCGAGTCCTTCATCGAGAAGTAAGCAACCCTGGCATCCCCTCACTTTTGAAGCAGTGTCTAATATCGCAATCAATAGCTTCGCCGAAGGCCCTCTGAGCGCTCCCACCCCAAGCGCCCCGACCCCGAGTGCTGTCACCACGGACAAGTACTACGTCGCCCAGATCAAGGGTATGCGCACATACTCGCTATCCACTTTCTATGTCGACTATAAGCATCTCGCTGCTTATGAGAATGGTTCCTTGGCCGATGGTGTGATGCGCCAGTACTATCGATTCCTTCCCTTCCTCACTGCCGCCTTGCACAACATGATCGCCAAGCACGAGCCCATATACTTCCGCGAGCATCGCCAGCCCACCGCTTCGAGCAACCTCACCACCTCGGCCGCCAGCCATCTTGGCTCTGCCAGTCAATCCGAGTCATCCCATCGCAAGAATGAGCACCAACAGACCGACAGGCTCTTCTCTATCGCCTTCTACAACCTGCCATTGGTGTCAAGGGTGCGTTCCCTCCGAGCCGCCAACATTGGCCAGCTCCTCTCCATCTCTGGTACCGTCACGCGAACATCAGAGGTTCGTCCCGAGTTGTCTCTGGCCACATTCGTGTGCGAAGCCTGTCGCACAGTGGTACCAAATGTCGAACAGACATTCAGATACACGGAGCCTACACAATGTCCCAATACCACTTGTCAAAACCGCGTGGCCTGGCAGCTTGACATTCGGCGCAGCACCTTTGTCGATTGGCAAAAGGTTCGAATCCAAGAGAACAGTTCTGAGATTCCTACCGGCAGTATGCCTCGAACCATGGATGTCATTCTCCGTGGAGAAATTGTCGACCGTGCGAAGGCTGGAGAGAAGTGCATCTTCACTGGTGCCCTGATCGTTGTCCCTGATGTTAGCCAGCTTGGTCTTCCTGGTCTGCGACCAACCGCCGTCCGTGATGATCGCAACGCCCCAAGAGGCGCCGACGCTGGTGGAAGTGGAATCAGTGGTCTCAAGGCCCTTGGTGTGCGTGACTTGACTTACCGTCTAGCCTTCCTTGCCTGCATGGTGAACCCGGACAACTCTTCTACTGGTCAATCTGCCGCCAGCGGTGTTGCCGATGTTGTCAACGCCTTGACACAAAACATTTCGAACGAGGGAGACCAGAGTGTTGAGGATGCCCAGGCTGCTGTGCTGGCGTCCATGAATCCCTCCGAGATTGAAGATCTGCGAGCCATGGTGCACGGTGATCACATCTACTCCCGCCTCGTCCAGTCCATTGCACCCATGGTCTATGGACACGAGGTTGTCAAGAAGGGTCTGCTGCTCCAGCTCATGTCGGGTGTTAGCAAGACCACGCCTGAGGGTATGCAACTTCGAGGTGACATCAACATTTGTATTGTTGGTGACCCTTCAACCTCCAAGTCCCAGTTCCTCAAGTACGTCTGCTCGTTTGCACCCCGAGCTGTCTACACCAGTGGAAAGGCCTCGTCTGCTGCCGGTCTCACAGCAGCAGTGGTCAAGGATGAGGAAACTGGCGAGTTCACTATCGAGGCTGGCGCTCTGATGTTGGCGGACAATGGTATCTGCGCCATTGACGAGTTTGACAAGATGGACATTGCAGACCAGGTTGCCATTCACGAAGCCATGGAACAGCAGACCATCTCCATCGCAAAGGCCGGTATCCAAGCCACTCTCAACGCCCGAACGAGTATCCTCGCTGCTGCTAACCCAGTTGGCGGTCGCTACAACCGAAAGACGACTCTCCGCTCCAATATTAACATGTCGGCACCCATCATGTCCCGTTTTGATCTGTTCTTTGTCGTCCTCGATGAATGTAACGAGCAGGTCGACCGTCATCTCGCAGAGCACATTGTCGGCATCCACCAACTCCGTGACGAAGCTGTCGAGCCCGAGTTCAGCACTGAGCAGCTCCAGCGATACATCCGCTTCTCCAAGACCTTCCGCCCCGAGCTTACTGATGAGGCTAAGGATGTGCTGGTCGAGAAGTACAAGGATCTCCGAGCAGATGATGCTCAAGGTGGCGTTGGCAAGAACTCGTACCGTATCACCGTTCGTCAGCTAGAGAGTATGATCCGTCTCTCTGAGGCCATTGCCAAGGTGAACTGTGTGGAGGAAATCAGCCCTGACATGGTCGTTGAGGCATACAACCTCCTCCGACAGAGTATCATCTCGGTTGAGCACGACGATGTCGAGATGTACGATGAGGAGCCCCAGGAAGACAGCGAGACTCTTCTTCGGGCTGCTGATGCTGCCTCTGGCCGTGACCAGGAGGGTGATGCACCGATGGTAGAGGAGGAACAGGAGCCTGAGCGTAGCAGCGTCGCACCCGAGAAGCGGAAGCTCACCATCACGTACGACAACTACATCAAGATGGTCAACATCTTTATCCAGCGAGTTAATGATGATGAGAGTGGCACTGGTGAGGGTGTGAATGGCGAGGAGTTGGTGAATTGGTATCTTGAGCAGAAGGAGAGTGAGCTCGATGGTGAGGAAGACTACCACCGCGAGAAGGCTCTGGCAAACATGGTTCTCAAGAAGATGGTCAAGGTAAGCGCAACTATCTGTCACAACTTATTCGACAGAATACTGACTAGTTCCAGGAAAATATTCTCATGGCTCTTCGTGGCGAGGGTCTCACAGACGGCGAGGCAAGCTCTGCGTCAGCCGCCCAGGTCATCTATGTTCTCCACCCCAACTGTGCTGTTGAGGAGTTTTAGACTTGTCGATAGATGGAGAGAAAAGAAGAGAATGGGTACATATGCATGTCATGATCTCACGCCTTGGGGGAAGGGCGTTTCGGAGTTGGTAGATATCACATACCCCGTCTGCGGGTAGCTTGACTTATGAGCGACGATGTCACGGATGGATGGTAGGGTCATAGAGGGATGGGATTCTTCACAAGGGGACTTGAAGATGTACTTACTTGGATGTTGACACGAGGAGCCAAGGGATATGATGAATAGTTGAAGTAATGTTATGAGTCAAGACGGATTTTGTGCATCTTGATTGCTTCCTCATGGTTCCGTTGATGCATCATGACACTGCAATGTTGGACAAGAGAGGAACGTTGCGCGAAAATTGTATGATTGATCATTCATCTTCTTGACAGCCTCATACGCACTCGTTATTTGATCGGCGCATAAGAAGCCCTCATCCATCCCATCCATTCCCATCCATCATCATGGCCCTTCCACTCCGGTCCGTCACCCCGAATAAACCGACTGGTTCCTAATTTTTCCAGCCCGTCTTGATCCAGCACCTTCATACAAGAAATAGAGAGAGAGAGAGAGAGAGAACAACTAAAAAAGGAAGAAGAAGAAAAAAAACCAAGACAAACAGGTCCATGATCGCAAACCTGAGCCAAATATCAAGCTCCCTTTTTGCAAAGTGTGTCTTGTTGGCAGCTGGTTTACATGAGCTCGTTTTTTTGTGTTATCAGCAAGCGCCCCTCTCCTTTTCACCATGACACGAATGTTGCGATGGTGGACGGGGGCGTGGTTGGGGATTTGATACAGAAGAAGAAAAGAAGCGGAAACAGAAAAACAGAATATGCAGGTTGCCAGAAAGCTCGTAGTATGAAGTGTCCACATCAGCCAGTAAACCCGCCTGTGTGACTGTGTGAACCCTGATGAGCTTCAACATGTTGTTGGCAAGGGACGAGGTATGAGAAAGAGGCTGGCGCATCGGTCGGTTAAGGGGAAAAAGGCACAGGATGCTCAGCTAGTATTATGTAGTAGAATCGCTCAAGTTTCATATCGTGCACAGCGTCTCAATATCCATACGCAAGTCCCTCCTGCTATCGTCTGTCATTGTCGACTCAACCCGAAGCAGACAATGAAGCAGGGGTGCCAGAGCCTCGGCTCCAGTTATCAGATCCTCGACTGCGGTATCCGCCGCGGCCTCCTCGGCCAGAGGATGTAGGGTGTTCGCCACGCGAGCTAGACACGTCTCGCTTGCCTCCTCGTCGTTCGTGCCCAGAGCCCCGATGTCTAGGGCCAGACTGTCTGTGAGAGCCTCGACCACCTCGGGTGGCAGAGAAGGGGATAGTGACGAATTTGGGCTCAGTCATGCCAGGGAAGTGAATCTTCATGGCATTGCCACCGCCAACTACGTCGGCGGGGAAGTAGTAAGGCTCCATTACCGCTGAATGGACAGCGAATTTCTTGGGCAAGGGCTTGTTCTGAGCCAAGGCTGGTTGCCATGCCGCCTCGGGCGCCTTGTGTGGCAGTCTGATCTGAGGTAGGGAGCCCATCTCCTGTTCCTCAAAGCATTCCTCGGCCATGGGCTTGGTGATAGGTGATGAACGGCCTCTGCCCGTCTGTGGTGGAGCGCTGACCCCAGGAAGAGAGACAGTAGCAGAGTCAGAATGGGTAACATAGTCCAAAGCGCTCTTACTGGCCGGATCCACGCCAATTGATCTCTGGGGAGGGGACCTTGCGCCGTTGAGGAGACTGTTGATGCGGTTCTGCCACACTTCCTGCGTTGCCTCGCCAGCTGTAAGAGGGGCTCGATGGGGGCTCAACGGAGGTCGGGTGGGATCCTTGAACGGTGGCGGGTTAGCCCAACCGAACTGCGGGCGGGTTGGAGGCGCGTGAGATGGTGCCATGGCGGGAGGCAGCTTCACAACAGGATGGGGCTTAGGAAGAGAAACGTGAGGTCGCATCACGTCTCCTTCGTAGGCAGGATGTCCCTCCATTGTGGGTGGTGGTGGAGTGGGTGACTTGGTTCTTGATGGCTCAGCCTGGCTCGAGTCACGAGCGTCCTTCATAGGGAAGAATCGTGATGTGCGCGCTTGTGATGCTGCTCCCTTGCCCGTCGGGGGCAGGATCGAACTGCCACCAGCTCCAATTACTCCAGTAGGGGCCGGCTGGGGAAGGTCCTCCCTTGATGGCGCAGCCTTCATCTCCTCTCCAGGCGCCCTCCAAGGGCCAGCTGGGTGCTGAGGGTCAGCCTGTGCATGTGGCCCGACTGGTCGTCGAGTACCATCACCAGGAGCATGGACTTGACGCCATGTCTCCTTGATGGCAGGTTGAGCATCCTCGATGGTTAAACCACGCTCGGCAAGTTGGCGTTCATGCTCCGTTCTCTGGGCCAGTCGCGCAGCACTCATCTTCTTGTCGTTCTCACTGACTGCAGCAACCCATTTGCTAGTAACATCCGAGGCAGGTGCAGCGTGTGCGCCCGGGGGGCCATATCGCGGAGGCACAGATCCAATAGGCGGTGGAGGGTGAGATCGTCCCTGAGAAGGCTGTCGCGCCATGCTCGGAGGAGCGATGGGAGAGGGTCCTTTACCTCCTTGAGAGCCAGCACGGTTATCGGTCGGTAGGCGTCCCAGATCGGTGATGAAGGTGCCGTTACCGAGACCCCGGTCATTATTAGGGGAGCCCCAGACATTTCGAGATGGTGGCGGAGCTCCCGCACCCCAGGTTGAGGCGACCCGTTCCTGTCGGGTGGCTGCAGCTGCTCCCCAGAGATCGGTAGGCTTGGCTTCCTGGCTATGGGATACACGTCTAGCGGCCGGTGCCGAGGCATGGGCTGAGTTAGGAGGTCCTGCCTTGGCATCTGCATCTGGTGCGAGATGTCGGGCTGGTGGAGTGGCCACCGACTTATCGGCCTCTTGTTGGGATTGTACAGGGGATTCACTCTCTGGCGCATTCGGTTCGCGCTGTTGAATATGGGTAGGCTGCGATGCATCCTCTGATTTTGGCGGCGCCTCCTTCTTGTCCGTCTTCTTCTCAGGGGCAGGTCCCATCGCATCAAGCTTCTTCTGAATGCGCTCCCTTCGTTCAGCTTCTTCACGGGCTTCCTCTTCCTGACGCCGTTTCCTAGCCAATTCGACACGTTCCCGCATGAGCTTCTTTTGGTACTCGAGCTCGTCAACCACTGGCTGAAGTGGTGGAGGTGGTCCAGCAACTGGCTCCGGTGGAGGGCCAGGTTGGTGAGGTGCCGCAAAGGCAGCGCGAGGTGAAGCGCGTGGAATCCAGCCTGACTGATGTGGTGGCCCTCGAGATGGGCCATGCGCTGATACCGAAAGATTTGGCGAGACGGGACTGTCGACAGAGCCCGCGAACGACGTCCTTCGAGTGCTGAGAAGCTCAGGGGGCGGCATAGAGCCTTCATTTCCCTTGTTCATGCGCTGCATGAAGGAACCACTTCCACCGCTGACGTTGGACGATCCGCGCCGCCTGCCGAAAGACGCATCCTGTGAAACCCTATTGGTTTGGAATGCACCAGATGGTTCTGCCGGATAATCGGACGGAGGTGGCCGCTGTAGCAAGGAAGGATGCTTTGGGTGCTGATCCATTCTGAACGAACCACGACGGTTGTCTAGCACTGGCTCGTATCGCCCAGAATGGGAGTTGTAAAGTTCCCTATTACCGTGTGATGAGCCATCTCTCCAAGCGGACCGGTTAAAGTCGTCGGCAGCAATCTCCTTGGGTAGAGGCGGAGGCATGCCCTTGAAGTGCGATGGATGTCCTGGCCGGGCAAGCTGCGCCTGTTCCGCAATAGGGGATGCCTTTTCCACCGGAGGTAGAGTAGCCCAAGGGGACTTGATGGGAGCTGGAGGTGCTGGAGGTTTGGCAACGAGACTTGGCTTGTCCTGGGAGCCACTCTTCAAGACCAAACCCTTGCCCTGTGCCAGATTGCTCGATTTCGCCAGAGGCGAGCTGATAGAAACAGGCGGAGCAGGAGACCTAGGTTTATCGAGGCCCTTACCCTTAGATGCGACTGAACCATTGTCGGAGCTCGGAGGCGGGTGTTCGTCTGGATGAGGGAGAGTCGTCTTTGTACCGTCTCCCCACGTAATAGCTTCAGGAGCCCAGTCATCGTCGTCGTCGTCGATATCGGCCCACTTGTTCTGTCCCTGGGCATCATCCTCGTTCAAGCGACTAGCCATGTGAATTCCATACTTTTTCAGTTCCTCATCCGTGAGCTTCTTAGGCTCTGGGGTAGGGGCAGCTAAGATTATCAGTTAGTGAGCTCGAAGATGGACCCGGATCGACGAGGCGGCACACGTACGTCGGTTCTTGTTCCAAACTGCGCTCGCATCAGGCGCACCACCCGGCTTGCCTCCATTTGCGCCAGAAAATCGAGGGGAGGAGTCGCGAGTGCTGCTGCCAGCCTTTGCTATGAGTCGAGGTCTCGAGGAAGACAAGGTCGCGGAGCCAGTGGGAGGAGTGCTGGAGCTGGGTGGTGGTTTGTCGGTGGTCTTTGCCGAGGCGCTGCTGGCGTTCGCCTTTGCTGCGAGAAAGGTCTTATTGACGGAGACGGCCTTGAAGGTAGCTGGTTTCTTGACGGATGAGCCTGTGCGGCCGTGTCCCTTGTCGCCATCCTTGCTCTTGACGCCATCGGCCTTTGATGCCTCTGTATCGGAACCTCCACTGGCGCTAGCATCTGCGGAATTGAGCTGATCCTCAACGCTCGTGATGTGTTTGTTCGCGATGTCATCGTAGCCGGCACTGCCATTCAAATTCGAGCGGACGGAGTCGACATGTTGAGCGTCGGGCGCCTAGATCAGCAGGATAACAAGTCAGTTATATGTCAAGCTAAAACAGCTTGGCCAGGGTTGTCGGCTTTGGATGCTAAGCGGGCGGCAGCAAGAGCCGCAAGGGTAGGACCCGGGAGCAAAGTTTCATCACTATTTTGGGGAGCTAGACGATAGCAACGTACAGGCTGAGACTGAGAGGCAGTGGCATCGGCAGCTTTGTCAACGGCAGCCTCTGTTGCCATCATACGTCGTGAAAATGCGCCGTTCGTGGGGGAAGCGAAGGAAGCCCTCGTGACAGAGTTTCGCCGCCTAGTCTCGGTGCGTATCTGCGGGAGTGCGTATCAAAGGTTGCGGTCGGATCCCGGGAGAAGTCGAAGATGATGAGGCTGCGACAAGTACGCGGGGCGGGGAGAACGTGGGAGGTAAGAGAGCGACCTGGCTAAGTTGGAGGCGGGGGGTCGGGGTCGGGGTCGGGAGGAGGGGGATTAGCGGATAGCGAAGCCGATCGTCGTTCGGGCGCAACGTGGCCGTTATTTCGTGCTGAATCCGAGAGGCGAGGGGAGGGGGGAGAAGGATGTGAGGAGGAGAGTCACCAAAATGCAAGGTGTGTCAGTTGAAGTGTAAGGTGAGGTTTCGAGGTACCCGGAGTAACTGCGGTTGGTGATGTGGAAGGCACTGCAGGCGACGAGAAAATGGTCGCTGGATTTGGACTAGCGTTGAATTGGGCTGGGACGTCCCTGCAGGGCTGTTCCAACTGCCAGCTGCCAGGCCCCAACTTTAGGGGCTCCAGCGCCTTTCAGGCCACGAGCCGCCAGCCAGGCCTGTCCTGTCCACATGGACTGACCGAGTGACTGCGTCGGCGTGTCACCAGGGGTCGGGTGCTAGTAAAGAGTGATCAACGGGCGATAAGAGTGAGATCTGATTTAGATTTATTCCGATGGATGTTCCTCATCAAGCAACAAGAGCACCACCTGAGCCTGGGTCAACCCATTTTTGCCTAGCTTGGTCTATTCCATGCCTGCGTCTTTCTTGGTGGTACGTGACAGCATGGACAAGCTCTAAACCAACGGCGGCTACCTACCTTGCGCTAGAACGCGCCAATGCTGTTATCCATCATCTGAGCTCCCATGAGGTAGGGTACCACCTCTGGGAGCAGGGAATCTGAGACGTGATATTCCTGATTGGAAGTAAGAGGGGAAACATAAGCTTTACTACTAATTGATATCATTAAGTTTCCTAGATCTCCGTAGGAAAACTATAGAGTTCCTGATCAAATACAAACTGCATGACATCTCCCATGAAGGGCCGACCATCGGAGGTGCATGAAAAACCAAGACATTGAAGGAAGCGTACTAACTCAAAATAACGAGGCTGAGTTAGAACCGATAATGGTTACTCAACTCGCAGTGATTCTGGATACAGATTCAGGTACCAGGAGAAAACACTCAAGCCAGGAGCATTCGCTTTCCAACCACATCAACGACTCATACGCAGAAGCACCAGAAGTTGAACTCAAACGAGTGCAATCACGACACATGCAAGAAGTCAACAAAGTTTCAGGCTAATGTCACATCACTTGCTTGTTAGAGATACATAGGGAAACCAAGGCGCGCGCTCGACCGCGGTGTTTAGGAGCTTTATATACACGACCTCCGTTCCCTCTCAGACAATAATCCCGCTAAGGTATCTGAATCCCACAGTAATTTAGTGGGCGTTGTTCTTATGGTGGCCTACAAGTGTAACCGGTCAGTGAACAGAGCTCCCCCTTTGCTCCGAAGCAGGAGATACATACGCAGGTGGAAGTAGTAGTTCTGGGCATAACCAATGGCAACGAGGAAGACAATGGCGTGAATGATGGCTACAAGTCAATCGTCAGCATCAACAATGTACTAGCCCAGCTCTCAAGGGGGGAATGTCCATACGCTTGCCACTGGGGTTCTTGCCAAAGTGCTTGGCCTGGTATCGGCCGAGGAGACCCTTGGCCTTGACCTCGGGAGCGGCACCTCGGGGAAGCTTCTCGTAGAAGCTGACGACACGCTGCATGCGGATAGCATCAGGAGCGGCGCCAATGGCCTGTGTTTGATCGAAATTCTGTCAGCCCGTCGAATTCCCCATCATCATTTGACTCTCGCGTATCGATCGCAGCGCCGCATCGCCAAAAAAGCCGGCATCGTTTCCCCATCCATCATTTACTCTGCAAAATCGAATTCGGAGATCCCGGGGAGAAGGAGTTTAATCGTGGTGCGTACCTTGGGAGAAGCGACCTGTTTTTTGAGATCCGGTGTTAGCAACGGAAGCAATCGGAGCACCGGCGGACCTTGCGCTCATAACCGAAGGGGGCTCACCTTGGGAGGGATGAGCGTCGAGAGCGCTCGGCGGGTGACGAAGCTCATGATGTCTGTTTGTCGGGGTGATGCGAGACTCGGGGAATTGTTCAATTTGCCGCGTTGGTCCGTCGAGGGTCTTGGTGACGCTCAATTGCAAGGCTGGGAGTGGGAGGTGGGATTTCTGTCGAGATAGTTTGGTCCCGCCAGGTTCAGGTTCTTGCCGAAAAGCACTCGTCCGCAGCGCCTCGGCAAAACGTCGCTCCGCCCCAGCCAATGGGAGACCCGCTGTTCCAGCTTGCTCAACCTCGAATATCGCCGCAACCCACCATCATTCACTCAAGAAACCTACGCCCGTCGACGTCGTCAATTGAAGCCATCGCGTCGCAAAATGGCCTCCCTCCGATCCCAGCGCGCGGCCCAGCTGCTGCGAGGCGCCATTGCCCCCCGAGTCGCCCTCTCCGCCACCCCCCGTCGATTCCAGAGCTCCGTCACCCAGGCCTCCGGCACAGTCCCGGCTCCCACGACCAACGAGCCCGATTACAATATTCAGGCTGACAAGGCCACCTCGTACGAGTCCCCAAGCCGCCATTGATTTATGGGAGGATAAAAGAGAAGTGCTGACTGCTAGCCAGCACCTACACGCCCGTCCCCAAGTCGCTTCAGGAGGGCAGCGAAGAGATCCTCCCTGCTGCTACTATCTCGGGTGCCCCCATGGAGCTCCAGGCCCGAACAGTCCGGTTCGTCTGACTCTGCTGCAACATATTCGAGTTGCCATCGATAAACCCCATCCGAGGCTGACAAGAATCGCAGCATCTACCAGGAGACCAAGCCCGCGACTCAGTCCGGCGAGTGGCGTGGCCAGCGCTGGCGCATGGACTGGGACATCCTCCCCAAGGGCCACCGATGGGAAAACCCTCTGATGGGATGGCAGTCTTCGGGTGATTTTATGCAGGGCACCCACATCAACTTCAAGAGCAAGGAGGATGCCATTCACTTCGCCGAAAAGCAGGGCTACGAGTACTTTGTCCAGGAGCCCAACTCGCGAAAGTTCGCTCCCAAGGCGTATGCCAACAACTTCCTGTACTCCGCCGGAAAGCTCAAGCACATCCGGACGAAATAGATGGCCTATATGGCCCGGCATCACGTTGTAAATACTCTTTAAAGGCTCTGGTACTATTCAATAACTGAAAGATACTTGGTTTTGGTTGCTTATTCACTGGTGAAATGGTGTCACGACAGGAGTATCAAGTTTCAAATGGAACATCTTATGGATGCATTTAGTTCAAGCAAGTGAAGAACTGCTCGTGCGGTATCATTTAGTGGTATCGCCCCAGGAATTCATAACGCCGTGGAGATGCTTCATCTCCTTGTCCTTCCGGTCAGGACTCTGCTCAAACGCCAAGCTCAAAACTCAAAGTGCAACAATCCGCTACCTAATCGACACGCTAAACTCCTTTCCCAAAGTGCCTGGCCTGGCATCATTCATGTCGTAATCATGGGCTCATGGTCATTCTCGCCGTGCAGGATTTGCCTGCTTGGGCTGTCAGGTTCTTCCCCGTTCAAGCCGATGTCGAGACGATCGGGGAGATTCTTTCGCTTGTCACGGGCAGTGTTTTCAGCCCAGACTCGCATCCTCACGAGCTGACGAATAGCGGCTTCCCGCCTCTGCGACTGTCGCTCTAGGATAGCCCGGTTGACGTTGTCGGCCACTTCGCGGCGCAAACCCGGTTTCAAGAGGTCGGCGAGCTGAGGTTCCAAGGATTCCGAGGGAAACAGGAGGAGCGCCATGGTTCTCTCCAAATCCTCCAGGAACTTGGGGTTTGTGGGTGCTCTGGGGCCCAATTGCTCCGTTGCAAATTTCAAGGCCGGCTGAATATCACCACCCGAAGCATTGCAAGTGCGAATGAGCTCGACCAATTGTAATCGAAGCAAGGCAAAATGCAGAGCCTTGTCTTCATCGAGAATCTTTATGCCAGGTCAGTACTTAAACAATGCAAGTGTGAAAGGCAGTTGTGTTTAATAAGGAGAAGTAAAGGCAATCATAGTAAAGTGGTTGTTCCTCATCAAAGGCCCGAAGGCTCTATGAGTGGTGCATGTAAAACTCGTGTTCTAATCATGTAGGATGGGTGTTTGGGGGCAGGTTGAGGATGAGCATACCTCAGGATCAAAGTCATTCAGAGTCTCGATGGCAGTTTGAATGTTGCCGCCGTGGATGCAATTCTGGATCTCTTGTCTCGCAATGATGGAGGCGCCATCCTGGTGAGGCTGGAGATTTGCTTCTTTGGAAAAGTTTGCCGCAGCGTTAGGATACCCTTCCATAGTAAGGTAATCCAGAATCAGGGCGTTGATGTCACTGCGCGGCTTGTTAGCATCTGATGACACGATGATAGGCCAGCAAGAGGTGCAATGTGGTGAGGTGATGTCAGACAAGAAGAAGATATATAACTTTTTTCCGCATTATATGCTAGGAGAGATTCCCATTGATATAGTTCATCATTTTACCGTGCAGATGGGGAGGGGACCAGGGCGATGCTTCGTACCTCTTGGGTGACTTGACGTCCTCGACACGCCTGTCAAAGGCATGCTTTGTGGGAGTGGCTGTGGAAGCAGACGACGTCTGGTTGAGGAGTTAGAACCGAGCTGCAAAGCTTGCGCGTCTTGAGAGAACGTACCATGGTTTCTGTCATCTATCGCAAGACCAGCTCTGACGACTTTTCGGAGCTCCGGTTGACAGGCTCGTCGAGATGAGGGTCTAGGATGTAGCCGGAAACAGGCCAACAGATGTTGATTCAGTTCATGAGGAACAGGAAAGAGATCCAGTCTCTATGCCTGGATGCTCGCCAGTCTCAGGGAGATCTGAGCTATGAAAAGAGAGAGAAAAAGTTGATGAGAGGTGGAGGAGAAGAAAGGATGATTGGGGGCTGAAGGAAAAGAAGGGTGGTTTCGTGGTGGGTCAAGGCGCAGGAGCCAATCAAGATGACGAACGGCTGGCCCACAATGAGCTTTGCCCTGTAGCTGCCTCAGGACTCAACACTGCTGAATCGTTAGAGGCAGCTCGGCGTATTTCGACCCCGCTAGAGAGCTGCGAGAGAGCTCTGAAGAGATGAGCTTTCAGTGCCGAGGTTGCCAAATTGCAGCCCCCAGGCATGAACTGAACTGACCAAGCCTGACGATCTGTTCCGTCTTCACACCACCTCTTGAGTAAGCTATCACTCTGGGCAGTACTACTCGAGCTTAGAGGTAGTCCCTGGTAGATCTGTATGGGCGCAATTGGAGGGGAAACGCTGTCATGCTACATCATCGTCAACGTCCAAGGTAGCCTCAGAAACAGGCCCCGACGTTCCAGCCAAGCCACGCACTACCACAAACTCGCAGTGGCATTGAGCTAGAGGCGTGATGCTTATCTGGACAGAGGCTGAAAACAGCCTGGATCGTGCGGAGCCTGCCCGCGCCGCCGGCCATCGCCGTCTTTCGATTGTGAGGAGAACCTGGATCCATTTCCCTGAGATGGAAGGTTGATCGTCGACTTCAGCAGTGCCACGCTGAATCATCCTTCTACTTCTACTTCCTCTTCTTCTTCTCCTTCTTGCACTATCGTTTGCAGTGATAGATCCATCACCGCCAGTTCTTGACACTGTCTGCTTCTGTTGCCCTGGGCATCCCGACTTTTTTTGCACGAGTTCACTTCTAGGTTCCTCCTTGGCCCCTGTGGATCGCACACGCGACAGAGGCTCGTGCTCACTGCTCCACCAACGGCAAACTCCAAACCCTCCATTTCGAACTTTGAAGGTGTTCAGTGCCGAGCTCGTGGACATTGCAGGGCTAGTTTTCGAAGAGAAACGTTGATATCATCTTCTTTGGACACGTCTCTGTGCCTTCTTTCTCATCTCACTTTTCACTCGTCATCAAATCATCAAGAACTCCCTCACCGAAACTAGCCCACCGCAATGTCCGCTGACGCAGTGCCTCAAGTCGAGGGCGGACTCGAGAGCCATGTCACGGTCCAGAAGCGAGCCTACTACTCGCCTCCTTGGGCTGATGTCAGCATTATTGGCGTCGCAGGAAGCTCGGGCTCGGGCAAGTCGACGCTGTCCCAGGCCATTGTCAAGAAGCTTAATTTGCCCTGGGTCGTCATCTTGTCAATGGCATGAAATCCCCAGTTACACATTCAACATGGCACTTTGCTCATTGATCGTCAGGACTCTTTCTACAAGACATTGACGCCCGAGCAGTCGAAGATGGCCTTTGCCAATGAGTACGACTTTGATTCGCCCGATGTATGGTGCCTTCAGCGTTGACATAGCCCAAACTATCAGAAGCAAGACTGATTAAATATATGTAGGCAATCGACTTCGACATCTTGGTCGACAAGTTGCGGGATCTTAAGGCCGGGTGTGTAACATTGTCCGGGCCGTAACCGCTGAGACTCGACTGACAATGACCTCGACCACTTCCAGAAAGCGGGCTGAGATTCCTGTCTACTCATTTGCCAAGCATCAGCGGCTGGACCGCACCACCTCTATTTATTCGCCCCACGTGTTGGTTCTTGAGGGCATCTTTGCTCTGTACGACCCTCGCGTCTTGGAGCTCCTTGACATGGGCGTATGTTCAATCTGTTCTGGCTCTCGTAATCGAGGCAGCACATCTAACACTTGTATTAGATCTACTGCGAAGCTGATGCCGATACCTGCCTGTCGCGACGGAGTAAGTTTTCAGGTTCATGCCGTTTCCCCTATGTCTCATACTGACATATGGAGCAGTCGTTCGTGATGTGCGAGAGCGTGGCCGAGACATTGAGGGTATCATCAAGCAATGGTTTGGTTTCGTGAAGCCCAACTTCGAAAAGGTAGCCCAAAGCAAAACTGCGCCAGGCCAGGCAGTGGATGATTTGCGGTAGCTGACATGATCTTCAGTTTGTTGAGCCGCAGCGCAAGGTGGCAGATCTGATTGTGCCAAGAGGCATTGAGAATCGGGTTGCCCTAGGTGAGTTTGTCTGATCTTGAAGGACGTATAGATGCTAATGCAGTTCAAGACATGATGGTCCAGTTCGTCGAGAAGAAGCTCTTCGAAAAGTCGAGACATCATCGAGAAGCCCTATCCCGTCTCGAGGCGGCCAGTAAGGATTCGCCGCTTTCTGATCGGGTTGTGGTTCTTCACCCAACGCCACAGCTCAAGTTCATGAACACTATCCTTCAAGATATGGATACTGATCCCGAGGACTTTATCTTTTACTTTGACAGACTGGCCAGTCTCATCATTGAACAGTACGATCCTGATGAAGGTGAAAGTAAGAAACACGCTGACGATGGTACAGAGCTTTGAACAATGTTCAATTCGAGTCTGCAACAATTGAAACTCCCCAAGGATACAAGTATCAAGGTCTTGTACCGAAAGGTGAAGTCTGTGCCGTGATCGTGCTACGCGGAGGTTCGGCGTTCGAGCCGGCGCTACGAAAGACGATCCCTGACTGCCGCACGGGCCGAATGCTCATCCAGTCCGACTATTCCACGGGCGAGCCGGAGCTCCACTACCTGCGGCTGCCAGACGATATCGCAAGGCACGAGAGCGTCTTGCTTCTGGACACTCAGATGGCGACCGGCGGCTCGGCGTTGATGGCGGTCCAGGTTCTGGTTGACCACGGAGTCCAGCAGGAGCGTATCGTGCTGGCGACGTATGCGGCGGGCAAGGTTGGAATTCACAGGTTGACATCCGTGTTCCCAGACATCACGGTGGTGGTCTGCAACATGCTCGACTACCAACAAGAGCGATGGGTTGAGCAAAGATATTTCCGTTGCTAATGGATCATGGGGTTGTACGGCGGTGTACCACAGTATATACGGTCTCCCCGATTCTGCTTGTTGCGAATGTGAGCATGGGTTTGAGCGTGGGGGTAATGACTTATTAGTAACTATCTGTAAGCCCTTACACAGACAAAGTCAGTCATTCAAGAACAATTAGTCAACACTAGCAGTAACAAGAAGGTCAAGAGATGTCGTAAAAGGATACAAGTAAAGTATTGTGCTCAATTGCTGCGTCTCAACTTGTTCAGTTCAGCTCCTGGCTACCCGGCATCGCTTCCCGACATAAGCGGCCAGGGCCCACGAAACGACATATCAGCCGCAACCAACAAGTTTTAGTCACTCGTGAGCCCACTGAAGGCGACTCTCGGCCGTATTTAACGCAACACCGAGCGTCATGGCCGACAGATCCGATGGGTGTAGAGAGGTCAGTGGACAGTCTGAATCCAACATGCATGACGATGGGAGGGAAAAAGATATTTCTATGAGCCCATCAAACAATATTACCAGGGTTTCAGGAGCTGTAGTGGAGTCGCCGATCGTCGGTGCCATCGCCAAGAATTTTGCTGGTGATGAACGCCAGCTCCAACCATGACGTAGCTTGACGTGCTGTCGGTAGGTGCGGCAGGTCCCTCTTCCTGCCGCATTAGGATCTCCAGCGCCTCCGGATGCGAGGTACATGGCGCCTCCATGCATTACACGACTACTCGCAGGAGGAGGGCAGGTACCTTTTGTCTTTCAAGTGGTGCGCGCCAGAATTTATCAATCTCTCTCCTTTACTCGCGCTTCAACGTCGTCATTCTCCCTTCTCATATCCCTCCCGCGCGTTTATTCGATCTCCTTTGGTGATCCATTGAGCAGTCGCAACCTCACGGGCACGCTCACAAGATTCGCTTCTTTCTTGACCACGTCATGAGCTGTCACTGAGCTCCCCTCCCACTTCTCTGATCCTTTCGACAACGATCAATCCCACGTTTCCACGTGAACGAGCAGCGCAATCATGCCCGCTTCCACCCTCATGGCCGCACGACTGGCTCGTGCTGGTCGTACCAGAGCTATTGCCAGCTCTCGATCTATAATATCTCCCATTACCCCTCGTTCGCTCTATTCGGCTCAATCGCGAACCTTTGTGAAGCTCTCAGGGGCCTCACCGTCGATAACCAAGAAATCCCAGGTTACAAGCCGAACTACTCGCCAACTCCCCTCTCAATACTTTGTGCGCGCGCTGTCAGGAAAGCCACTGCCTCAGGGAACCTCGTGGGTTCTCAACTTTTGCTTCCGTGCCGCAGCCTGGGTGGGCATCTCGATCACAGTTGTCGGCGCCGCCGTAGTCTGCTTTTTTATCTACGACGCTTCTACGTACTTTGAGCACCCCACACAGAGCGATATCGATGTGTCCAAGATCGCCCTCCAGCCTCGATGTGGAGGTGAAAAGAACTTGCCCATTGCTGAGGTCTTTATCGACGAAGATGACACAGAAGAGAAGCGGCGCCTGAAGAATAAGCCACGGCTTGTGATTCTTGGTGGCGGCTGGGGCGGTGTTGCTCTCCTCAAGGAACTGAACCCGGACGATTACCATGTCACCGTTATCTCGCCGACAAACTATTTCCTCTTCACTCCAATGCTTCCCTCGGCCACAGTTGGTACCCTTGAATTGCGATCACTTGTCGAGCCTATTCGACGCATTCTGAGCCGCGTTCATGGCCACTTTATTCGTGCCAAAGCTGCGGACGTTGACTTCTCGCACAAGCTTGTCGAGGTGTCGCAGATAGATTCATTCGGCAACGATGTCAGCTTCTACGTTCCCTACGACAAACTTGTCATCGCTGTTGGCTCAGTCACCAATCCCCATGGCGTCAAGGGCCTGGAGAACGCCTTCTTTCTCAAAGACATTAACGATGCTCGCAAGATCCGAAACCAAATCATTCAAAACTTCGAGCTGGCTTCACTTCCTACCTGCCCTGATGAGGAACGCAAACGGCTCCTGTCTTTTGTTGTGAGTGGTGGTGGACCTACTGGTGTCGAGTTTGCCGCCGAGCTGTTTGATCTTCTAAACGAGGATCTGTCACAACACTTCCCTCGACTCTTGCGCAACGAGATCTCGGTTCATCTAATTCAGAGCCGAGGCCATATTCTCAACACATACGACGAGACTGTGTCAAAGTATGCCGAGGAGCGCTTTGCCCGGGACCAGGTTGAGGTTCTCACAAACTCGCGGGTCAAGGAGGTTCAACCTGATAAGATTATCTTTACGCAAAAGCAGGAAGACGGCAGCTTGATTACGAAGGAGCTCCCTATAGGATTCTGTCTATGGTCTACTGGAGTGTCACAGACCCAATTCTGCCAAAAGTTGGCCAAGAAGCTTAGCAACGCTCAAACCAACCAACGTGCCCTAGAGACGGACACTCATCTTCGCCTGAACGGCTCACCTCTGGGTGATGTGTACGCAATTGGCGACTGTTCTACCGTTCAGAACAACGTTGCCGATCACATCATCACCTTCCTTCGATCTCTTGCTTGGAAGCACGGCAAAGATCCTGAGACGTTGCAACTTGGCTTTAGTGACTGGCGCGAGGTTGCTAGCGATGTCAAGAGGCGATTCCCTCAGGCCATCAACCATCTCAAGCGCCTCGATAAACTTTTCACCGAGTTCGACAAGGACAAGTCGGGCACACTGGACTTTGAGGAACTTACTGAGCTGCTCCGCCAAATTGATAGCAAACTCACCTCTCTACCAGCTACAGCCCAACGCGCTCATCAGCAAGGACAGTATCTGGCCCGCAAGTTCAACCGCATGACTCGTATGAACGACGCTCTGCGCGCCAATGAGATTCGAGAGGGCGATGTCGATGCTGCTGTCTTCAAGGCATTCGAATACCACCATCTTGGCAGCCTTGCCTATATCGGTAACTCTGCCATCTTTGATCTTGGTGATGGCCGGAACCTGGCCGGTGGACTTTGGGCTGTGTATGCCTGGCGCTCTGTCTACTTTGCTCAGAGCGTCAGTCTCCGAACGCGTCTTCTTATGGCCATGGACTGGACGAAGCGAGGTCTGTTTGGACGAGGTACGTGCTCTCTTGTTAATATCCGCACCTTGAACAATACTAACGCGTTCATAGATTTGATGAGTTTCTAATGTGGGTTTCATGGCATGATTGGATTCTAGAATTATTGGCGTTCAAGCAGGGGACTCGGGGCCCGGAGAATGAATGATGAGATCGGTTAAAAAGACATGATAATACTATGTAAATCCAGGTTTAGAATACCAAGATTTTCATTAAACAGGGTGCCAAGAGGTGGGCTCACACCAAGAAGACCACCGGCGTTTCTATGGCATAAAGAAAAAGTTGCAGGATTCTTTTGTCGCTAAATATCAACCAGTGGTATGCAGCCTCTATATCATAAAGTCCTTGTACGTCCACTTCTCGGTGTACTTGCGCTTGGCCTGCTTCTTGAACGGAATATGTCTCCTGCTCTCGACCTTGCCGCGCACCAGCATGCTTCTGTATCGGTCTCGGAGAAGGTTGCCCTCGGGCTTGAGCAGACGCAGAGACTCCTGTAGCTCATCGGGGAGAACCAGCTCAAGGTCTCGCTCAGGGAGCTTGTACTTGCCGAGCTGCTTGCGGCGCAGCTTTTCGTCGCGGAGCTCGCTGACCGAGTCGTCCGAGTCGTTGGCGGCTTCGGCAAGGGCCTTGTTGCGGTCATTCTCGTCAATCTCCTCGGCGATCTCTTTAATGCGATGCTCTTGGCGGCGCTGGGCTTTGATAGCGGCCTTGTGCTTCGCTAGACGCTCCTCCTCCTTCCGACGCTTGATACGGTTGCGCTGTGCTTGTGTCTTCCTCTGAGGTCGCTTGGCGGAGGCCTTGTCATCCTCGGCACCACTCTGGAATCCCTCCCACTCAGAATCTTCCTCCCATTCCGAAAGGTTAGCCCGCGCCTCCGCAGCCTCCGCTTCAGCTGCTGACCGGGCTGCGGCCTCCTGCTTCAACCGCTCAGCCTCCTCCTGCTCTAGACGCTTGCGTTCAGCCTCAAGGGCCTTTTCGCTCTCATGCGCCAGGCGCTCCTCGTAGTCGGTGAACATGGGGTTGTAGCTGTAGCCGCCAGAGGGCTTCTGCACAGCAGGGACATGCTTTCCGCTCTTGAGGAGGGTTAGGGGCTCCTGCTTCATTGACTTTGGCACCTTGGCCTTGACCTCTTCTTCCAAGAAATTATCAACGCTTGTCTCCTTGGGAGCCGCAGGCATGTCCCAAAGATCGTAGGTGGCGTCCTTGATTTGTATGGTGTTCTCGTGCTCGCCGTCGGCAACCCGCTTGAGCCGAGCAAGCTCCTTGTGGGATACCCAGTTGGTCTTCTGACGCTTCGCAGGGATGAGTCCATTGGTGGTCTTGTCGCCGGGTCGCTTGCGCATGGAAACAGCGGGAACGGCAGAGCGGGCATTGATGATCTCGTCAGCCTTGAGACCCTTCTTGATGTGCTTGTTGAATTTCTTGGGCAGCTGCGAGTCGCCGGCCGTGTCGAGAGTGAACAGGTCTTCGGACGCCTTCTCCTTGATAACACCGCTATTTCTCCATTAGCATGACAGGCGACTGGGGGCCAAAAAGAATGCCGTACCCTAGAATGATCTCCTTGTTCAGCTCCTCGAGTCCCTCTTGGACTTCAGTAACATCAACGTTTTTCCTCCATGCCTTCTTGCCCTTTCGCGACGGCTGATTGAACTGCTTGGGAGCGTCGCCTGCTCCGGCAGTCTTGGATTGTAACACTGGCATATCTGCGAATCCTCTCTGAGCGAACAGTAAGGATTTGTTGCTTGGTTTCAAGAAACGAAAATGCTGCTGGTCGATGGAAGTAGTGGGGGACAATCTTTCTTTAATTTTTTAGTGGAGCCTGAGTCTCGACTCCTTCCGCCATTCGTTATCGATGCTTTTTGGGCCCAAACGGAAGGACCGCCCACGTAAAAAACGGGGAGGATTTCTTATCGGCACGTGCACTTGCGTCGGATACGTTCATCGCCATATCCTCCTGCCGAATCCAGCATCCATAGGGCGACGACATCGACCTCCTTTCTCCGGATTTCATCTGTCAACCCTTGTCCCGATACAAAGTGGCCACACTCGGATCGCATCACCTCGACCTCTTTCCTGACGTCGCCGAGCCCGACTTCTTCTTGTAATCGCAACAAGAAGTTCCCGTTTCTCCCGACAACCTCGCATCCGGAGCTTGACAGCTGTCACATCTGTCCCGCGGAACAAGGGACTCAAGCAGAACGACACAACCACAACCATGGCGCAGGCCGGCGGATCTTACAACAACCCCTTGAAGAAGTTCAAGTATGTATTTCTCCGGCAAACATTTGTATTGCACTGATGCTAATCGCAGCTCAGGTTGGTGTTTCTAGGAGAACAGAGTGGTACGTCGACGACCGATTCCGGCGCCGCCAAGAGCGACTTCACTAACTGCGATCTCAACAGTGGGCAAGACCTCCTTGATCACACGATTCATGTACGATTCCTTCGACAATATGTACCAGGCGACAATCGGCATTGATTTCCTCTCCAAGGTGAGCACCTTGTGGCCGCCGCCCTTGGGCCAAGACTGACGCCTGTGGCTTAGACCATGTACCTTGAGGACCGGACGGTGCGGCTGCAACTTTGGGATACCGCTGGACAAGAACGATTCCGAAGCTTGATTCCCTCATACATCCGAGATTCCAGTGTAGCTGTTGTCGTCTACGATATTTCGAGTCAGTTTCCCCTGAGCTGACCCCACCCCGACCCCCATCGCTTCCATTCCCAGGCATCCATATTTGTACTAACACAGTTCACCTTTGCAGACGCCAAGTCGTTCCAAAACACCAAGAAGTGGATCGACGACGTACGAGCCGAGCGAGGTAACGATGTGATTATCGTGTTGGTTGGCAACAAGACAGATCTTAACGACAAGCGGGAGGTTACTACACAGCAGGGTGAGGAGGAGGCCAAGAAGAACAACCTCATGTTTGTCGAGACGAGTGCGAAGCTGGGCCACAACGTCAAGAACCTTTTCAAGAGGATAGCACAGGCTTTGCCTGGTATGGAGGGAACCGATGCCGCAGCGCAAGCTTCGAGTCAAAGTATGTGCCCCACGTCGTTCAACCCTGACCGACTTGCCAAGAGCTTGGAACTGACCAACCACTTTTCTAGTGATCGACGTCAAGACGAACAACGCCCAGCAATCACAAGAGGGATGCGCATGTTAATTAAACCCACCTCTTTGGCCAGTCGGGACTGGAGTAAAGGAGTATCTAGGACAATGTAAGCTATGCTCACAACATGAAAGAAGCCTTGTGACCTTGCGCATGCCGAGGGTATTAAGCATAGCGTATAGATCTAAGGGCAAGAGCTTACATCTAATAAAGGAGAATCACATGTGTGGGTTTGAGTCAAACACCGAGTAGCCAGTTAATAACAATAAGTTTCAAGCGAGCTTTAGAAACAAAGTACTTACTGATGCATTGGCAAACGATATTAAAGACAAAAGCTACTCACACAATGCCTTTACGCGTTTACAGGGAAGATATGTACAAGGTTGTTTAGCTCCTTAATTTAAGTTGTTGCATGCTTCCTCCACACGTGACCCTGCATTTAGATTGCGCCCATCAGTGACGGAAGCGGCGGAAGACCTCTTCCCTTAGTCAGCATCATCAACTGGGAATGATCCTTATTTCCCATTCACCACGTATCGCGTCCTTGCTTTTCAACCTTTAACGCGCTTCCGGAACCAGGCTTCGACTGACGAAGAGGATACCCACGACGAGAATAAATCGATAGTCTGAAGGACGGAAGAGGATAGCGAGGGTTCTACCAGCACCGCCTCGCCATGTCTCGACTCACGCGATCACTCCGGGTGCCCCGGCCGAAGGTAAGGAGAACAAACTCTCAGGTCGACAGCGATGGATTGAGACTTGCACAACGCTCAAAATAGGCAACATATGCTAACTGAACCTGCCTCTAGACCCTGTTTGGCTTCATCAGCCTTCAGACCGGCACAGAAGTCATCTCACTCGCCCTCGTTTTCAACAAGGTCACCGGTGTCTACGGTCTGCTCGCCATCCTTACCGGCTACCAGCTCTCCCTCCTTCAGCTCTCTACCTACGTCTACTCGATCGCCATTCTTATCGGGCTCGCCATCCTGGTTCCTCATGTTCGACGACAAAGCCCCTTCGAGTGCCTGGCTCTCGCGTGGATGTATATTCTCGACACAGTCATCAACATTGGATACACAGCGGCCTTCGGCTTGGACTGGTACTTCTCTACTCAGTTGACCGAATCAGCCGACCTCAATAAGACGAACCTGCCCAACTTTGTGGCTGAGGGTATGCAGGGACTGCGCAAGGAGACAGAGATGCATGGAAAGGTTGTGCCACAAGAAACGGCGACGAGCATGCTCCTGATCGTTGGGTCGATGCTGATCCGCGTTTACTTTTGCTTCGTCGTAATGGCGTACGCTAAGCAGGTGTTGCAAAAGTACATGCAACTGATGATTCTGGAAGGTCCCGGTGTGGATGACCAAGAGGGACCGTTCGCTGAGGACCTACCGGACGGCGAGGGCCGCAGGGGACGACTTGGCCGTTTGATGGTATCGTACGGCCGAACTTACTGGCTCGATGCTCGAGAGTCTGATGAATGGGCCCCTAACCTGGGTCCCAACAAGTCGGGCTCGGCGGGCACACTGGCTGGTGAGGTCTAAAGAACATTCGATATGGGAGATGCCGCAGTTTGATGAAAGAACTCGAAGGACGGTGCACGGAGTCTGGAGTGAAATATGATGGTCAGCGGCCAGGCCGGGAGACGTTGCCGACTGACTTGACACCTCTGCGGTATGAGATATGGCCTGGTACCTTGACCTTTGGATCTTCTCAGAACGACACGCATGTTCAGAATGAACGGGCGCAACACATGATAGACGGAGTAATTGTGAAAGGGGGTGGGTGGCATTTTTGGTCTTTACGGGGCGACAACGGAGACCAGTCCGGGATCACAGCCGATGGCTCGGCCGGCGCGGGACAGAAGCGGCGAGTGCGGCGAAAGTGCGGCATGCTGCGGATCGGCTCAGCGGCGTCTGCGGGCGGTGAGAGCGGATGAATCGACTCTGCGGCTGGTGAAGCGGCATTGCGTGATGGAACGGCCCCGGCAGATTGCGACGAGACGTCAGAAGCACATGGCATCTCATAATTACTCGTTGGATAATAAGCGCAGATCAGTGGGCTCGGGGGTGTTCTCTCACATTGACAAAGGATGTTGTCAACGGAATCTGGGTGGACATGCTTGGATCATGAACTGGCTGCATTGCAAGGGCGATGGACTAATGGAGAAATGGTAATACCTGTTTCGTAATATAGGAAATCAAATAAACGTAGATACCAAGACTCTTCAGCAAGACATGTCTTGACAGCATTCGTTTGAGATGGAACTGAAGTGCTCGTTTCCATAGAGATGGATCTGGATGGAATAGGCAAGCTATTCCAGCCAATGGTAGCCACCCATTTAATCAATCAGTCAGCCTCATTGCGAACCTCCGTCCTCGGAACTCCAGTTGGGGACGGGCCAGACGAGAATGGATAGGAAGTGGACCGAGGCCAAGTCGGAATTCTCTAAGGCGTTTGTTTACTCAGCCATTGATGGAATCGTTCGTTGTACAGATTGCGTGAGAAGAGAGAAATAGCAGATGACCAATTCCTATGCAACTCTTCGTCTGTCTGCCGATGGTGTCATTCCCATGCTCTCCCCCAGGGTTTCGAGGCCAGAGAACGCACAGCGGCCACCGGCCGGTTCTCGGAGGTACCCCTACTGGTTCGAGCGTGCGTGACCTGGCTGTTTTGGGGTGGGCAGTTTTAGGCGACCAGGGCAGGAGCGAATTTGGCCTGCACCTGCCTCTCATCATTTTTTACTCGTCTTGCGCGGGTCGTCGGTGGCCCAACAGCGTGCCTCGAGCAGGAAGTCGGGGTGGGTCCTTCTGTGTCATGTACCCCGGTACGTACTGGCTCCCACTGCCGGCGCTGGCGTGTGGGTGCTGATTGGCTAGACTCAACACTTCGACGCAGATCAACCAATGGCAAGCACGAGCGAAGCAAATCCGAAGCTCGCCATTTGTCGTCGGCGGTCGCGGAGCCGTGCGCCGGGTCTGGTTCTAGCGGCAGGCGCGACCCCGAGGCAACACCCCAAAGAGACCCCAATGAGCCCCGCCGTCCGGGGCATGGCATCCCGCTAATCGATCACGCAATCGAGGGCAAAGATTCATACAAGCAAATCTGCTGGTTGCTGCGTGGTCTCTGCTATGGTTTTTTTTTCTCAGTGCCTATTTGGCGCCGCGCGGGGGGGTAAAATTCGTCGGCCGGGTGGGCAAGTGAGAGAAAAAAAAAGGCGTGCGAGCACAGGGAATAGAGCAAGCGAGGGGCCGAGCAAAGGAGGGGGGTCGCTCCAGTCAACAGACCTTCTTTTTTCCCTTCTTCGGACGTTGAGCCAGAGGGAAGAAACCTTTTTCTAATCTCCAAGGAAAGGAAAGAAAACCACTCAAGATCCCCGGATCCCGCGTGAGCGAGACCGTCCCTGGGATATTTTCCTTTCTCCGTGTCTCTCCTTCCATCTTCCTTCTCTCTCCCACACATCCTCCCCTCCTCTCCGTGTGAAGCGCCAGCAGCTGTGTCTGCTCTGTCCATCCCAAGAATAAACATTCAGGACGGACAGGACATCCGAGCCTCGAATTAGAAACAACCGACGAGACGAATACGAAGACGGAACGGGTCACAATGGACGCTGCTTCACAGCACCGGATCAAGACTCCTGAGGAGGCTGGTGAGTCTGTCCTTCTTGTGCTTGGGGACTGCCAATGCGCTGGATGAGCTTGAGATCGCAAGACAAACCCCTCTTATTGCGCATCTTTTACTCTCCCAGCGCAGAAAAGGCGGCATCAATTGCAATCCGCTAGATGGCAAGAACCAATTGGCTAACCTCTCCTCCCAGTGGCTCGAATCGCCTACCTCTCCAGCGATGTCATCGTCTCCGTCCAGCCCGCCATTGGCACCGAATCCGACTTCTCTGCCCACCTGAAGCGGTACGCAGGCCGCAAGGACAGCAGCCTGGTTGCCCAGAGCACTGATGCAGTTCCTGATGTAAGTCAGACACGCATGGAGAATCTACCCCTCCTTGAATACTTCTCCGAAAAATCCCCGACCTTATTTGTGCAAACTATGGGAGCCTCTTTTGGTGTCGTCAAGACATGGACACAATTGGGCCCCTCAGTTACATAATTGGTGTGGACAATGACATGAGATTACACAGCTAACCGCCAAAACTTCCAGATCCTCCCCGTCCGACACAATGCCGACCCTCTTCTCTCAGTATACACTCCCATCCGAGCTGGCAAGCTCGTCTCCGTCACCACCACATCATCCATCCTCCTCCCCTCCGTTTCACACCTCTACAAGCTGGCCAACTACCCCGTTGTCCTGCACGTCTCTCTCCAGCCGCGGACATTTGCCGACTACTCTGTCATCACCGCTATCCGCAACTCAGGATGGACCTTTGTCCAGTCCGAGAGCCTTCAGGAGGCCCAAGACATGGCTCTGACTGCCCATGCTCTGGCTATCCGCACCGGCAAGGGTGTTATCCACTTCTTTGCTCCCTCTACCTCTGAGAAGGACAAGCCCATTGGTGTTGAGGACGCCACAGTCATTCGCGACATTCTCGACATTGAGAGTGTGCGCCGATTCCAGGCTGGCCAACCCACATCTTCACAGTCCGGCATCTACGCCGATGATGGCCACATTGCCGTCTCTTCGGATCATGATGCGCCTGTCGTGACCGGTGCTGCTAACAACGGCTCCCTTACTGTGCCCCCCAGTGCCAGCGCCTCCAAGGCTCCTTCAGCTGGAACTTCTGTCAAGTCCAGCCAAGACAGCGAGGCCAGCACTCCCGTTGCGCCCTCTTCCGCTGCCACCACTGTTGAGACAACCCCTCCCCAGGTCACCTCTGAGGACGTCTACAAGTGCGCCGCGCGCATCTGGGGCCAGATCAAGACTGCTCTTGGCCGAGAGTACAGCGCTTTCGAGTACTCTGGACCTCCCGATGCCGAGAACTGTCTCTTCATCTTCGGCTCTGATGCCGGTGCCTTCGCCCAGGCCATCGACGAGGCCAACCCCGACGAGATCTTCGCTTCTGCCGCCATCCTCACTCCTCGCCTTTACCGACCTTGGATCGGCTCTAGACTCGTCGAGGCCATCCCTCGATCCGTCAAGCGAATCGCTGTTCTGGAGCAGATCCACCGCAAGACTACCAAGTGGGGTCCCCTTCTGATCGATGTCCTGACCTCCGTCAAGAGCGGACCCGGTGGCGTCGAGACGATTGTTGGTCATCAGCTGGGCTACCTTGCCCCGGAGGTTGTGGTCCAGGCTCTGCGGGGCGTGCTCCAGAACCTCACTGCCGAGAAGCCTATTCAGAACCTCGAGGTTGGCAAGAAGAGTGCCTGGAAGGAGCCCACTGGCTACGATCTCAACACTCCCCAGCTTGAGACTGCCTACAACAAGATCCTTGATCAGCTCTTTGGCAAGCGTGCTTACGTTGCCAACGCCATCAAGTCTGCTACCACTGGTCTTTCTCCCACCGTTGCTGCTAGCCCCGAGTTCGGCTTTGGCTCTCTGCTTGCTCGCAAGCAACGCCGCAACAAGTTCGTGTCTCAGGTCAAGGATGCTGCTACCAACGGCAGCTTCATTACTGATGCTCCCAAGAGCTGGCTGGCTCGATGGGCTATGAACGCCGACGATGCCACCAAGTCGACAGAAATTGCCGATGATGTGATTGCCAGACTTGAGACTGATGGTTCTTCTCTTGCTGCTGAGCTCCTCTCTGCCAAGGGTCTCTTCCGCAAGGAGTCGCTCTGGTTGACCGGATCTGATGCTTGGTCTTACGATCTGGGTAACTCTGGTGTTCACCACGTTCTGGCCTCTGGTGAGAATGTCAACATGCTCATCATCGACTCTACCCCCTACTCCGAGAGGGCTACTACCGATGCCAACCGCCGAAAGAAGGATATTGGCCTTTACGCCATGAACTTTGGAAACGTCTACGTCGCCTCTACTGCTGTCTACAGCTCCTACACACAGGTCCTGCAGGCCCTGCTCGAGGCCGACAAGTTCGACGGCCCCTCCGTGGTCCTGGCTTACCTGCCTTACTTCGGTGAGACCGACTCTCCTCTGACTGTCCTCCAGGAGACCAAGAAGGCCGTCGATGCCGGCTACTGGCCTCTTTACCGCTGGAACCCCGATAACGAGAAGAAGGGCGAGCCCAACTTCTCTCTCGACTCTGAGCTCATCAAACAAGAGCTCAAGAAGTTCTTGGCCCGCGACAACCAGCTCACCCAGCTTGCTGCCAAGGAGCCCAAGTTCGCTGCCGCCCTTGCCCAGGACTTTGGAACTGAGGTCCGAGCTCAGCAGAAGAGGAAGGCCAAGGACGCCTACAACCAGCTGCTTGAGGGTCTTCTGGGTGCTCCCCTGACTATCCTGTTTGCTTCCGATAACGGTAACGCTAGTACTGTGGCTAAGCGACTTGCTAACCGTGGTCGTGCTCGAGGCCTGAAGACGGCTGTGATGGCCATGGAGGATTATCCTCTTGAGGATCTCCCTGCCGAGGAGAACATTGTCTTTGTTACCTCTACTGCCGGTCAGGGTGAATTCCCCCAGAACGGTCTGCCTTTCTGGGATGCCATCAAGGACAACACCGATCTCGACCTGGCTACCGTTAACTACTCCATTTTTGGTCTGGGTGATAGCCACTACTGGCCTCGCAAGGAGGACAGGATTTACTACAACAAGCCTGCCAAGGATCTTGATCGGGTTCTGACCAACCTGGGTGCCAAGCACCTGGTCCCCGTCGGTCTGGGAGACGACCAGGATCCCGATGGATTCCAGACTGGTTACCAGGAGTGGGAGCCCAAGATTTGGACCGCCCTCGGCGTAGACAACGTCGATGGCCTCCCTGAGGAGCCCCCACCTATCACCAACGAGGACATCAAGATTGCTTCCAACTACCTCCGTGGTACCATTGTGGAGGGTCTCAACGACACTTCCACTCTCGCTATCTCGGCCGCCGACCAGCAGCTTACCAAGTTCCACGGTACTTACATGCAGGACGACCGTGATATCCGAGACGAGCGCAAGGCTCAGGGTCTGGAGCCCGCCTACTCCTTCATGATCCGATGCCGACTGCCCGGTGGTATCTCGACGCCCCAGCAGTGGGTCCAGATGGACGACATCGCCAACACGCTCGGTAACGAGACCATGAAGCTCACCACCCGACAGACCTTCCAGTTCCACGGTATCGTCAAGAGCAAGCTCAAGCCCGCCATGCAGGCCATCAACCGTGCCCTGATGACCACCATCGCTGCTTGCGGTGACGTGAACCGAAACGTCATGTGCAGTTCGCTTCCCACCCACTCCAAGTATCACCGCCAGGTGTTTGCTTGCTCGCAGCTCATCAGCGACCACCTCCTGCCCTCGACCACTGCTTACCACGAGATCTGGCTCACCGACGAGGACAACAAGAAGACCCAGGTTGCTGGTGACGCCGTCCAGGACTTTGAGCCCCTCTATGGTCCTACCTACCTGCCTCGAAAGTTCAAGATCACCATCGGTATCCCTCCCCACAACGACACCGATGTGTATGCCCACGATATCGGTCTGATCGCCATCAAGGGTGAGGATGGTAACCTGGCTGGTTTCAACGTTCTTGCCGGTGGTGGTATGGGTACTACCCACAACAACAAGAAGACGTATCCCCAGACTGGTCGCATGTTCGGTTTCTGCAAGACTGAGGATGTGCACATTGTCTGCGAGAAGATCATGCTCATCCAGCGTGACAACGGTGACCGCAAGAACCGAAAGCACGCCCGTCTCAAGTACACCATCGACGACATGACGGTGCCCGTCTTCCGTGGCAAGGTCGAGGAGCTCTGGGGCAAGAAGTTTGAGCCTGAGAAGCCGTTCGAGTTTAAGAGCAACGTCGACACTTTCGGCTGGCAGAAGGATGAGTTTGGTCTCAACCACTTCACCTTCTTCATCGAGAACGGCCGTATCGAGGACACTGCCGAGTTCCAGATGAAGACTGGTCTGCGCGAGATCGCCAAGGTCCACAAGGGCGAGTTCCGCCTTACTGGTAACCAGCATCTCATCCTCAGCAACGTCGCCGATGAGGACCTCCCCGCCATGAAGGAGCTCATGAAGAAGTACAAGCTCGACAACGTCCAGTTCTCTGGTCTCCGCCTAAGCTCCTCCGCCTGTGTGGCCTTCCCTACTTGCGGTCTCGCCATGGCCGAATCTGAGCGATACCTGCCGGTGCTCATCTCCAAGCTTGAGGCCTGCCTCGAGGAGAACGGTCTCCGTCAGGACTCTATCGTGATGCGTATGACGGGTTGCCCCAACGGTTGCGCTCGCCCCTGGTTGGCCGAGGTTGCCTTTGTCGGCAAGGCCTATGGTGCTTACAACATGTACCTGGGTGGTGGTTACCACGGCCAGCGTCTTAACAAGCTGTACCGCCAGAGCATCAAGGAGGATGAGATTCTCTCCATCATGAAGCCTCTCCTGAAGCAGTACGCCCTGGAACGACAGGAGGGTGAGCGCTTCGGTGACTTCTGTGTCCGAACTGGCGTGATTGTGGCCACCACTGATGGCCAGAACTTCCACGATAACGTAAGTTGTTGACTCTGCTCTTGATACCATGTATAGTTGGCTAACAATTGGAATAGATCCCCGAGGAAGATGAAGAAGATGAGGAATAGATGATGATCAAAGAATGACCACCATGATGAATTGGATATGGAAAAACAAAATGGGGGGATATTCAATGACGGATTGATATCATACTTTTTTATCTTTATTTGCTTGCTTGCATAGCTTGACTTGGCCCGGCGCAATTTTGGAACCTACCCTTTGATTACATGTAGGAATATCTTTTTTTGAGGAACAAACACACACACAAGACTTTTCTGTGAATCATTATAGACTTGAACTTTATACATTGCTTCTTCTTACAGGTGTCTTCCAACATCCATCCTCTCGACATCCTGTAAGGGGTATACTACAATAACAACAACTACTGTCTATCCGCATCATCACCTTTGCCTCCTAAACTCGAACCATACCAAACAAAAATACCAAGACCCAGACCAAGACTAGTAATTCCAACAAAAAACCAGCCAGACCCTCCTTCAACAAAAACATTGTCCACAAGAAACTCGTAACAACATCATCATCTTTTCTTCGAGAGAGCCTGTCTCGTACATTGATCGTTATTCTTTCAACAAAAAGCTGGGGATTGTTTTCGCCGTTCCATGCCCTTATGCGCCTGACCACGCCGGATGTAAAGAACCCAAATGCAAACAAAATTCACACGCAAGAACCTCCTTGGTTCGTTCAGACGTGAATAAAGATCAGCTTCGCAAGTTACTCGATACGCTGCTCATCTTGTCGTTGAACCTCTCCTTGAGGCCACCCATCCATCGGGGCGCCTTCAGGCTCAACCGCACTCGGCCCTCCACTATCATGTTGACGACGTTAAGGACGGCAAATGTGGTAGAACCAATGGCACGGAAGACGGCCAGGGCAGCGACAGACCAGAGGAGGAAGCGTAGGTAGTAGTTCTCGCCAATACCCTTGGCACTGTAAATCTCCGAGACAGCCATGCCGAGAATACCGTTGCAAATCATCCAGGTCAGCACCAGGTATGTGCGGACACTCTTGTAGTAGTCTTCCTGCATCTGGGCTTCGCTCATGGGGTTTTCGGGAACTTCAAGTCGGTCACGGAGGTTGCGGAGAGCCTCATCGTAACCACTGTCAATGTCGAGCTGCTCGCTGGGCATGTCCAACTCGACAGTTTCACCCTTACCAACGGCACCACCAAGGTCAGTCTTCATGACGTTGTCACCCTTGGTTCCCCAGGTAACATCGTGGGTATTGCAGAAGGCGTAAATCTGTAGCGTGCAGATGTAACTGGGGAGCAGGACGAAGTACTGTGCTGCTGAGGTGATCATGTGCCAAGGATCGAGGTATATGATCGACATGATAAAGTACATTCCTATGGTTGATAGGATGGATACGATGAGGTTTGTAAAGACGTTGTTACCCATCTCTATCTCATCGTCCTTTGACGTGAGCTGTCGAACAATGATGTAAATCGTAGCAAAAGTCGTGTAGACCATGATGACTCCGTATATGATCATACTCGAGAGGTACAGTTTGTTAGAACCTTGGGGTCGATTGCCGAGGGACAAAATGAACTGCGTCGATATCAGGAGAACGCAAGCGTACCGCAGGATATGGAAGATGACGGTGCCGATATTGTGTCCAAACGGATCGACTTTGGGGTCTGTTAGACCGCCTGCGACGAAGTAAAAGGTGAGGTAGAAGTTGGCCAGAGAGAAGAATGTGAAGAGAAGCTGGATGAACTGGTAGAAGAACTCGATGTGCAGAAGCACCTTGCGAAACACAGTATGATCCGTAAACCAGATTTGCTTGAAGTGGACGAGGGAGTAGACAGCGGCAAAGAAGGCACCGTTGAGCCATCGTCGACGCTGCGAGATGAGTTCCGAGACCGTGTCTATTTCAGAGTTAGTGTCATGTCATGATGAATACAAAGTCATTGATAGGGGACTTACCAGGCACATCAGTCTCACCAGTACATCCCTTGACGTACTTCAAGACCCATCTCTCGCCTCGCTTGGCGACCAACTCCCAGCAAAGAATACGATCTTCAGCCAGATACATGTTGGCTGTAAAGACATCGGCGTGTTGTCCGTGCAACGTTTCACCCTTGAAATACTGGCTGAGGGGTCCATGTCCAGTCTCATCGTTCTGCAGCGCGTGGAAACGGTAGGCACTGAGAGCACCGGGAAGCACAGTAATGTAGCCAAAGACAGACTCGAGGGGCTTATCAAGAATGTTGGACATCTTGTACTCAAAGTTCTGGGACGCCACAAGGGGGTTCAGGAAGTTGGCACCCATTTTGCCCTTCATAGCCTTGATCTCTCCACAAGCGCCGGCAACGTTCGAGTCGGTATCAAAGGCCTTCCAGAGATGGTAGAGCGAGGTGCCACCAGGACGAGTACCCACATCCAGTAGGATACAGACGTTGGGGTTGAGGGCCTTGCCAAAGGCGTTGAAGAACCATCGGTGCGAGTTGAGCTTACGCTGGTTCTTCTCTTTGAGACAGAAGATCATCTGGCAAGGAACAATGCCCTTCTCGGCACCCTTGAACTTGAGATCGGAATCGAGAGAGACCTGGGTAGTGTACTCGTACACGTGCGCCTGAACGGCTCGGTTGTTGACAAAGTTCTTTGCGATACCATGCTGATAGACACCCATGGCAGCAAGGGCGTCGAGCGTACGAGGGTGAATCTTTTCACGGCCATCTGACACGATACAGACCACAATCTTCTGCCACCCCGTCTCACCCCAGGTACGGGATCGAGACCGGGAGCAGAAATGTGAGATGTTCTTCATGACAGCGTACATGGTGCGAGTGAAGCCGATCTCATCTTCGTTGTACATGGTGATGCAGATGAACAGCTCAGTCTCTCGGAGAGTCTTTCCAATCGACTGTCGCAACTTGTACCCTCTCTCGACAAAGTCGTCGGGATCGCATGTCACAGCTGTGTATCGCATATGGGTGAATTCAACCTCGCCTCGTCGTGGCAAGAAACTGTAGAGAATGGTGGGAATCTTGCACTCCAGCACCAGCTCACCGTTGATGAGCTGCACTTCCTTCCTCGACATTTGGGGTGCGCGAACACCTCGTCGTTCTTGGGCGCCATCTGGAGCCGGGCCATAGTGCTCAAACTTGTCGTAGTCTGAGTGTGTCTCGTGTAGTGTACTTTGAGAATCAGATGAAAGGTATGAGGCCCGGTCCACGGGGTGAGGCCTCGCGTCGCTGAGGTCTGATTCAGGTCCAAACACATCGTCATCTATATCACTGTGCAGGGGAATAGACACCGTCGCATCGTCTGCAAAAGGTGGGATATTTCTGGAGTTGTTGTTTGTTGAGAAGAGCGGTGCTGGAGGGAGTGGCCGCCGTGGGCTGCCGCCATATCTGGAAGAAGGGGTCCCTGGTCGAGGACTTCCATTGAGATCAGATGGCTCATACATGTCGTTTGATGGAGGGGGCCTCGAGAAGTCGGACCTTGTGAAATCCGACATGCGTGATGAAGGTGTCCATGGTCGTTGAGGTGAACCATCGTTCATGTGCACTCCGTACGGGATGTAGGATGATTCGGGGGGTGGCATATGTGGCGCATCGTTGAAGATAGAGCCGGATCTTGATGACCGGACGCTAGGCTGATAGTTGAGGTTTCGTGGACTTCGAAGACTGGGGAGTTTCTCTTGTGAGCGGGCGTTCTGAACGGATCTCAATCGGCTCTGTGGCCGTGGTGGTACGGGGGGAGTCTGGTCTCGGCCATCACGCTGTTCTATGTGCTGTCTGCGCCGCTCGCTGATTCCGTCTGGGATCTCTGGGAGCTCTCGGGGCATGTCTGGCATGTCTGCGAATGCAACTCGCATGCTGTTCTTGCTCTTTTTGTTCTGCAGCTTTGCAGAAAGTCCTCCAGACATCGCATCGCGGGGCAGCAGGGACTGTGATTCGGCCACGGTGAGGGAGTAGGCTGGAGGTAGAGGGAGAGGAGATACACGATCACGTTCCTCGTTTGTAGTATACTTCTCGAGGTCATCCAGATGCTCGGGGTATGCCCCGGACATCTGCTTGTCCTTGTCTGAAGACATACTGCACTGAGGAACCAGAGGAGACGGTGGTGATGGGATCGCGACTGGCGGTGAAGAGGAAGAGGGCGTTGTCTTTGGGGATAAAGCAGAGGAAGCAGAAGCAGAAGGAGAGGAAGGCGTTTGTTTTGATGGGGAGGGTGGTACATACTTGTGAGCGTCGTAAGGTTCTTCCACAGAGGTCAAAAGTCTCATCGCAGCGGGACTATGCCCGGTGGGAGTGTGATTAAGTTCATCGTCATCGTACGGCGGGAGGCTGTAGTCGGGCGGGCGTTGGGGCGTGTTTGGGTCCATGGCGGTTGACTCGGAGGTTGATTCGGAGCTGGAATGTGGACGCGGGTAGTTGCAAGAGGACGGGGGATTCGAGATTGGCGATTGGAGGCCCAAAGCGAGGATGTTTGGGAGACGACAGGCGTTTCCTCGACGGCCTACGCCGTAAGGAACGAGAAGAGCAACCGGATTCTCCTGGAAAGGACTCCTCAATCAAAGATTGAACTTGCCGGATAGAGTTTCGAGGTGTCGTCGAGAGCGTAATATGTTGAAACCTTGATCTACAAAAGGTGTTGGGTTGCAGGTTGAGAGTGCAAGTGTGGGTGAAGCTCGCACAAAGAATGCAGCTCGGGCATGCAACACAGAATTGTCGAACGAGAGTCGGGACGAAGAAGTTGAAGAGAGACAAAGAGCGGAGCAATGAAAGCTACCACTTTCCCTTTTTCCACGAGGCGTCGCACAGTAGCACGGAGCGAGCGGATATGGTTGCGGATATGGATTTGGTGGTGGGGGGTGGGTGATAGCTTGGGGAGGAAGCTTGGGTCATCCCAAACAAACGGTTACGTAGTACTGTTGACCCAGCAACGCACCCTTTGGGACATGTCTGGCACGCCCAGTCTCACAGCCTCCCAGTCGTATTGTTTCGGTGGCCGGGGAGGAAGCGCCACTCTCTGTTGGATGGACGATGATGACTGGCTATTCCATCATGACTGCCTGGGCGAGACCCCGGTGGATTTGTTGATGGTGGAGGTCGAGTTTAAATTGCCTGCATCCCAAACTTCTTCAGTGTCGGGAGTTTGAGGCTCAGCTCAGTGACATACCCTAAGCCTTTGTTGAATCTGGAGCCAAGTTATTCCGCGATGAATTCACTTCTTCAATCGCAATTGAAACCTTCATCAGACTGACCGTTTCTTTCAAGAGTACCTATTTTTGTTCTTCGTGATGGCCTCCTGCAATGGCCGCCACGTAATATTTACATGCAAGCGCTGGCGGCCTTTCTTAGCGCCTTACTGTGGATAACTTCGTTTCCCCAGTCATGATCGCCTACAGACAAGCATTCAACGGTCGGGAAACCTTCATCAACAGCCTGTGAACGCTAGGACTGAGCTTGGCCTCGCCTCCACTGCAAAGGCGACGTGTGCCCTCGTTGTGACAAGTCAAGTGCTGAGAGGGTCAACCTGGTCTGACTCCCTTCAATTAATCTAATCCCCTGGCCAAAGGCACAGACGTTGATGAACCAGACGTTTTGTCAGCGGGGTGGACCGGCCTGACCCTTGCATGGGCCGCATCATGAGCATTCCTTGAGCCCTGCCGAGTCTGACACTCGGGGGAAGAGAGATCCCGCTTTCACCGGGAGAAAGTGATCGTACCTGACCGATTCTGCAGTAGCCACCTCGGATACGGATACGGATATGTCGTCCTCTCGTTCCTATGCATACATGGATGCTGCACTGCCTCGAATCACACCGTTACCCTACAGCAGCCGCAATTTGTCTACCGAACCCATAAACGATTATGCTATCTACACGTCTGAGAATCCGTATAGTTAAACCTATTCCTCAATAAGAGAGAAAATCTCATCGCTGTCACTCGTGGCTCACCGAAAGTCAAATCGTATCACCTGCCTCACCGAGAATTTGCTGTTGGAAAGGACACAGTCAACAGCTGATCAACATCCTTCCCGAACAAAGGGTTCTGCTTTTAGTCAATGCTGAGCTACGCCGCATTGGTAGTTGCAAAAACAATGTAGAGATGATCATGTATCAATGGAGCCGATATCCCCTAGGTCCCAATTGGAAAAAGAACAGCGAGCTGTCGAAACTATTTGCAAAGCCCCAACGACTCACTTTCTTCAGGGACGGATGCTTGAAGACATGCTGACATAAAGACTCAAACAACAAGTAATCCTTCATGAGGCAGAATAGAGTCAAGACTATGCATCCATGTCTCTGAATTGAGTGTTTACCCTGTTCGATGATGTCTGGGCCGGCCCAACGACTCATACCCAAGGAGCAACATGGAGGATGAATGGGGGTAAAGCATGTGCGCTTGATCAAGGAACCCCCACATCGAAACTCATATACTGCATACACCAAGTGAACCTTGTCGGCCTCTTTCCCCATGGGGTGCCGAGTTGTAAGTCAATAATGCGCTTGTCTGGAGTTAACCCGCACTCAGAGACCACTCTTCACGTCAGGCTGCAGCCTCAGAAAACCTCCCGGTTACGGGATGACGTTGTTGGACCTGGATATGTTTTCTGCTCTTGGCTGTTGACTGTATCAAAATGCCTCACTGCAGAGGGTGTCGGTTTGGTAGGTGCCCATCCATGAGGGTATCGTGAGATTCTGGTCACTCCTCAGGCATGGTGTCCCTTCGCACTGCCTCGTGATTCACCTTCAACTATCGCAACAGGAAGGAGATACCCAACAATTTGAACACACGATATAGGAAGCTGCGATGGATCTCGATCATCGATTCTTCAACATGATTCAAACTCCTCTTGCACACGTCTGCGTCGAGAGACTTTGACGCCTCGCATCCTCGCTACGCAGCACAACGAGAGTTTATTTCATCGTTTCTCGTCGCCCATGCCGAAAACCTTTTTGTTTCTATTTGCCTAGTATTTTCTATATAATCCCTGCTCGCCCCAGACTCAATCACCTTGTCTAAGTATCGCGTCGTCAATCAACAGTGTCAGATCAAGCACACTTTCTACATCCCAAACGACATCTTCTGACTCCAGACCATGTCGCAAAGCACAGAACCTGGCCAAACAGGCCCTGGTGATAATAACCCCAGCTTAAGCTACCACTGGGCAGGCCGAAAGGATGCCCCCCGCGAGTCCCTCCACAACAACACCAACGAGCCGGTTAGCGATGCGCCCACGACTGTCCTTCAGAACCCGTTGGCCGATATGACCGAAGAAGAACTCATTGCCGATGCTAGCGGCCTATGTTTGCAAAAGGGTCTACTCGAGCACGTTGATGTTTTCCGCAAAGCAGCCCTTCTGGCCAAGGTTATCAACGTACCACAAGGGTTCGAGTCAATCGACGCTTTGAGCGAGGAGGACAAGGAGATGCTCCGCTATGAGGAGACACACCGCTGGAAAGCTCAGCCCAAGATGCTCTACTTTCTTTGTGCTCTGTGTGCAGGATGCGCTATTGTGCAGGGCATGGACCAGACGGTCATCAACGGCGCTCAGGTATGAAGATTAAGCTGGCCCTGACTGAAAACGATATCTTTTGCTAACATGACTCTAGAGCTTCTACTTTGCCGAGTTTAAGATCACCAGATACGCGTTGATCGGCCTGACCAACGGTGCCCCCTATGCTTCGGCCGCACTCATCGGGTGCTGGCTCAATGCCCCCCTGAACAAATGGTTTGGACGCCGTGGTACCATCGCCTTCTCTTGTCTCTTCGCCTTCATCACCGGTATCTGGCAGGCCGCTGCCAACACATGGCTTTGCTTCCTTCTCGCTCGCTTCACGCTCGGTCTCGCTGTCGGTGCCAAGTCAAGCACCACCCCCGTCTATGCTGCCGAATGCGCCCCCAAGAATATCCGTGGAGCCTTGACAATGATGTGGCAAATGTGGACAGCATTTGGCATCATGCTGGGATTTGCTGTCTCGATCGCTTTCCAGAACCTGAAGTATCCCAACGAGTTCGCCCCCTGGCGATGGATGATTGGGTCGACATCCCTTCCCCCGCTGATCGTGGGATCCCTTGTTTACCTCCTCCCTGAGAGTCCTCGTTGGTACATGGATAAAGGAAACTTTGTTGAGGCTTATAACTCGCTTAGAAGACTCCGCAAGTATGATTTGCAGGCTGCTCGCGACATGTACCTTGCGTGGAAGTTTCTGCAGGTTGAGGAGCGCTCTAAGGAAGGCCACAACATATTCAAGGAGTTCTTCAGTATCAGGAGAAACTGGCGAGCTGCTCAGTCTTCCTGGTTTTGTATGCTGATGCAGCAGTTCTGTGGTGGTATGTACCTCCTAAACCCCGATGAGTAGTGAGATGGGCTAACATGATCCTAGTCAACGTGATTGCGTACTACAGCACCAAGATCTTTAAGGATGCAGGATACACACAGTCGCAGGCTCTACTGATCTCGTTCGGCGGCGGTGCCATCAACTGGCTCTTTGCGTTGCCGGCAATCTGGACAATCGACACCTTCGGCCGCCGAAACCTTCTCCTGTCGACGTTCCCTCTCATGAGCATATGTCTGTTCTGGACTGGCGCAAACTTTTATCTTCCGGAGGGACCTGTTCGCTTGGCGCTTCTTGCGACTGGTATCTACTTGTTTATGGCTGTGTACTCCCCCGGCCTTGGTCCGGTTCCATTCACGTACAGCGCGGAAGCATTCCCGCTGCACATCCGAGCTCTGGGTATGGCTTCGGCCACATCTATTACGTGGGCCTTTAACTTTCTCCTCAGTTTCACGTGGCCTTCTATGGAGGCTGCCTTTACAACATCGGGCGCCTTCTTCTGGTATGCGTCATGGAACATGTTCGGGTTGGTGTTTGCATACTTCCTCCTTCCGGAAACCAAGGCTCTGTCACTGGAGGAGTTGGACTTTGTCTTCAGCATGCGCAACCGAGACCATGCTAAGTACTATGTTAAGCGACTGGGCTGGTACACAAAGAAGATCATGGGCCGCAATCCCGATTCCATGCCAGCACTATACCGATTGGAAACAACTGCGACAGAGACGGAGATAGAGGTCAAGCCAAGCAACGTGGAGAGCAGCAACTCGACTTGAAGGCCGATGATGTCGATTCACGATGTTGTCTACAACTGATTCTTGATTAGATGTTTTTAGTGAGAGGAACTGCATACGCAGTTGAGGTTTCCTGGGGCGTTTGGGAATTTGAATACCGTAAGAGTCATGGTTGAGCGCGGCTTTGCACCGTGGTTGGGTAACGTTAGTGGCTTATTAGGTAGTGTTTAATCTCGTAATATTATTACGGTAGATTTACTGTGCCTCATTGTGAATTCGTGCTATTGAAAAGTAATCTGAACTTCTGTGGTCAGGGTAGGTTGTCTTGTTCATTATGGATGACTAACATGGAGGGCTTCTTCATCTGCACAACCAGGGGTTTTCATCACTTTGACACTAACCAAGCAAAGACTGGCATTGCCGAAGAAGCGGCCTTCATTTTGGCCCGTGAAAGCGCCACCCGAGCAACCGACATGACAGATGACGATCATCAACTAGACCAGCCCGAAGCAACCGGCTTCCGCTCGGTCCCAGGCCCGGCTACGACGCCGTCGAACTCGACGCAGGGATACGGACCGGCGCATGTGCTAGACCACCATCCCGACTATCCTCATATGCATACGATAGTCTTGCTGCATGGCAGAGGCAGTGACGCGGAGGAGTTTGCGGAGGAGTTGATGGACTCATCTCGCCTATCAGATGGGCGGTCGTTGCAGGAGGCGTTACCGGGCTGGCGGTGGGTTTTCCCCGCTGCAAGGCAAGTCTGGAGCGAAGTGTTTAAAGAGTTTATGCCAATGTGGTTTGAGTTGAGGGACGGCAGGGATGGTGCTGGGGATTCCGAGGGGCTGAAAGAGGCGGTCACACATGTGAGAGGTATTCTGCAGGAGGAGAGGACGAGATTGGGGTACGGCAAGGTGATTCTGGGGGGCATAAGTCAAGGGGGAGCGGTTGGCATGTGGACGTTGCTGTCATTGATGGGCGAAGGGAATGGTGATGATGATCCGGGGAAATGGCTGGGTGGGTTTGTGGGGAGCAGCACATGGATGCCGCTTGGAGATGATGCTGAGAAGATGCTTGACGGGGATCATCACGGCTCTGAGTTTGTGGAAAACATGATGAAGTCACTTTCTCAGCGACAGTCGACCATCCCTGTTCTCATGGGACATGGCGTTGACGATGCTTATGTCGACGTCGACTTAGGACGACAAGCAGCGCGCATCTTGAGTCGAGTTGGGTGCAGTGTTGAATGGCGAGAGTACACAGGCGCAGAGCAAGAGGGTCATTGGTTCAAGGTGCCCGAGCAAATGGACCACATTTACGAGTTTCTGAAAAGCTTGGAAGCGCAGTAACAAGACATTTTCGGATATAAGATTCACAAATCTTTCGGAATTGCCACATAGCATCCTTGAATGTCAGAATTTTTACTCGGGACCCGCGGAATTATCACCATCCTAGTTAAGCTGACAGTCCCGAGGCCAGAGATCTCAGGATTCATATCCCAGTGCAGGGTCTTTTTTGTGCCACTCCGGAATGTTTTATTCGAGTCATTTGCAGCGAGTGACAGTAAAAATTACCAGAAAAAAAAAGTAAAAATGAATCTTGGGGTAACATTGCGCGACATGATCCTTGTCTTGTCAAAAAGAAAAGAAAAAAAGGGCGCCTTCCCCTTGCAGCAAAAAGAATGCGTTTTAAAAACTTCCATGTGAAAACCTGGATGCCTGCCTGTTTAGGCAAGTGCCCTTCAAGTTTTGGGCTCGCGCTTGCACTTGCACCAACCAGACTTGTGCTCAAGTTGGAAGGAACAAGTGTTTCCATTACGGATAACCTCAGTTGTGGCCCATGACCGTGCGTTGCTCTTTCCAAACCCGAGCTTTGGTGCCTCAGGGTGTGCCTCAGGTTCAACTCCCAGCCCGGATATCATGATGGATCCGTCCATTCTCTTGCATCTCGATATACCAACAAGTAATTTCCCTTCAGACCAAGCTTCGAGTTTAGCGATGCCATGATCATGGTCCAACATTCTTGTCTTGCCGTACGTGATTCCTGACACTATCGGAGCACAGGCCCGTCGCTCTTGCAAACTATTCAACTCCTCGCCCGGACCTGTTTGCTCTTCAGGTCCACACGGCCGAGAAACAAACCACCGTCCTGGAAACCTCGACACACGACTTCTCGAAAGGACAGGGTCACCTTAAAAAAAGCCACGAGGCCCGGCCCTCATCCGGACGAATGATCGGCAGCACCAACAGAGGCGCCCCTGAGGCGACTGTTTTTTCCCTTCCCCTGGGGCGGCACGGCCCTGATGCCCGTCATCTTTTGTGTGAATCGTACGGTGGCGTGTGATGGTCCTTGTGCCTGTTTGCCTGGTTGAGCCAGATGCATTCGTGTCTGGATATACGACATTTGCCGAGAGATGTCCTGAAGCAAGCTATGGTGTGTGCTTTGACATGGACCATGTGCTTTCTTGTCTTGGAGTTGATCTCGACTGCTTTTGTCTGAGCAGCACTTTAATCCGCAGCACGGGCTGGGCCGGCGGCCAAAGAAGTGAGGATATCCTGGCTTCGAATTTTTATCTGCAGGGCCATCTTGAACCAGCAAATAGCTGTTTATGGCGTCTGGTTGGTTCATCAAGTGTCAAGTCATGGCTTACAACACGTCTTCGGTCCTTTTCGTCTCCATCAGCGTCGAAGCTTCTCAGCCAGTTACGCCCTGATACCAACCGAGTCTCGTCTTGCAGGACCCATCGCCTTCTGCAACCTCACCCCAGTCTGCACTCTGCCCTGCCTCTCATGCTCATGACACCCCGGCCTCGGATCGCTCTTTGAAAATCGCCATCCATCTCGAAAGGCGCGGAGCCCCCCGCCCCCTCCCTCGGGCCCTTGGACTCCTCCGGACCAAACCTTGTTCGGACATGCTCCGTGAAGCTGCCCGGCCACATAGCCTCGAGTCGGCAATCAACATCATGGATCGAGTTAATGCCTCCGATGTGCTCGGCCACTAGTCTTAGTGGTCCCTTGTCCTGGGGCCCTGGATCTCCACCGTTTCATCGACCACCGATGGCGTCCTTCTAGTCGTGGTTCTGTAAGCCATCACCCAAGCCAAGCCGAGCCTAGCAGAGCCCACCGTCATGCGACACTGGGCATCTCGAACTGACTCCCCATAAACCCAGACGCGCATCCATGGATGGATGGTTTGCAGACGTGGCCCCGTCGACTGAGAATCTTGGGATGCCATGCCCTAGCCTAGCTCCTGTTTCCCAGCCCGGTCGTGGAGGCGGGTCGGCGTGGAGGCGAAGATGGAGACCGACTCACTGTCGTTATAATGATACTTCTGCAGCTCCCACCCCCGCTGCCGCCGGTCTCTGCTCTACTTCTACTGTTTTAGAGATCTGGTTTCTTGATGCTCACTTGAGCGTCTCATCACCATGCGTAACCCACCTCCAGAGGTGATGGCCACATGGCCTCACCCAAACTACGACAACCCGGATCACCGTGGGCCAGCTCTGCTCATTGTCGAGGTATCCATCATGTCGGTCGCTGTTCTCACTCTCCTGGCTCGACTCTACGTCCGGATATTCAAGGTCAACAAAAGTGGCCTCGACGACTGGCTCATGTTGGCTGCCATGGTAAGAATCTTCCCCAGATTTGTACCTCGGCTCGTCCAACGAGCATGTGCATGGTGATCGTCGCCCCCCCTGCTAACACTGCGGGTTAGGTTTTCGGCATTGGAGTTACAGTCTGTGTGATACTGGCGGCCCAGATGTATGGGTGGAACATTCATGTGTGGGATCTGAAAGAGTCCCAAGCTGTCAAAGGTCGACAGGTGTCCATCGCCGCCCAGACACTCTTTCTGTTCTCTTCCGGTCTCGCAAAGAACTCGATCCTCGTTTCCTATCTCCGAATCGCTCCGGCTCACTCATGGCTTCGACGCGTAACCTATGCATCGATCAGCTTGGTTACCGCCTTGATTTTTATCTTTCTTATTGTGCTTTGGACACAATGTCGGTATGTTGGATACACGTCCAGCTGTTCAGTAGAGACTTAATCACTGACCGTTGCAGGCCAATGTCTGCTTATTGGAGCTTGACAGGCGGTGATAGCTGCTCTGCAGAAGGTCCTAGTGTGCTGTAGGTTTCCCAATAACCCCTTGCTTGACTTGTCATTGACCCCTTATAGGAGCCAAGCTATTACGACAGTTGTTACCGACCTGCTCGTCTGCGCTATCCCTCTACCAACACTCTTCAAGTTGAAGCTACCACTTTCGCAACGCATCGCCCTCATTGTGGTTTTCTCACTTGGCCTTGTTGTCGTCTTCGCGGCCTCGATGCGCGCATACTGGACACACTACGTGACGGACGAGACCTACGATGTTACCTGGGAGGGCTTCTATCTTTGGATCTGGACCGCCGTAGAGGCAAACTTGGGCGTCATCTGTGGTAGCGTGCCAGCATTGCGTCCACTCTTCAGGAGCATGTTTCGGTCAAAGAGCAGCAGTTACTACAACAAGACAGGCTCGCACGCTTACCCGCCTGGCACCGCTCAAGGAGGAGTAGTAACGGTCATCACGAGTCCCAAAAAGGCCAGTAGGACCTGGACGGACAACCTCCAGCGAGGGAGTAAAGGGGTGAGGATTCAAGACGACCATATCGACATCGAAGCGGGCACTTTTAGTGGCGGGAAACGACACAAAGACACCGACAGCGGGGCGTCGACGCTTGAGATGGATACCTGGCCGTCGCGAGAACAACCCAGATCGTGGCCGTCGAGCTCATAGTGAATTTTTGGCATGTTTGGCGTTATGGTAATGCGGTAATCACGAAAATGGTACTTATGAAGGAAGGGAAGGAAATCACAGGACATCCAGCATGACAGGCATGGAAGGGATATAAACCACGGCGTTCAATATGGACATGGTATGGTAATCACCAAAATAAATGTTCCCTTTTATTTACCAGACTCCGTCAAGTGATCCTCCAACTATATTCGCCCTCTAAATGCTTTTGTCTCGTCTTGGCGTCCACATGAGGTTCATGTGTTGAGAAATGTCAAGCTAAATTCGGGCATAGGGTTACTTTGTAGGATTTAAAGCTCCTTGGCGTGGCTTTGAATCCTACGGCAAGCCGAGACGAGACGACCCAAACGCTTTGACCCATCTCGCAAATTCGTCAAGTTTGATTGTCCAGAGGCGAACCGAACCGAGAAATCGGGGGGGGTCGTGAACAGGGATCAGTGTTTCCATTGCATCCCTTTGGTGTGTATAATACACCCTTGATAAATGCCCGACTTGCATGCATCGCGCGCCGGCGCATTAGCCTTCCCCGGCGGGATTGTCGTCCATTGCGGCGGGGGAGTCGAAGGGTGTGTCTCGCTTCGGCCGGAGGAGATAGCACCAGTAGTATAGGTCCGGATCATGTGGTAGTAGCTTGGGTGTGGGAACCTTGGCAAGGACCTCGATATCAAAGGGTAGGTCATCAAGGTCGAAGCGCGAGGAAGAGTAGCTGAGGGAAACCCATACACCGCCATCGGCAAGACAATTCCGGATGCCGGCGGCCATACGGCGTAGCGGGGTCTCGCCGGCGCATGAAATCGCGTCAACGGTGCTCTTGTCAACGATGAGATCAAACTTTTCTTTTAGATCGAGCTGTGTAGCATCTTGAACCTCGTAACGCATTTGCACATCTCCAAATGCCTGCGTCTCAAGTTCGCGGCCGCGGTCAATGGCGAGAGGCTCGTAGTCGACATTAAGGAGGTTGCGGAAGCCCCGGGCCCGGAAGTGGTTTTGAAGGTCGCTGGTGCCAAAGCCGATGTGGAGGATCCGGGCGGTGGCCGGGTCCAACCGTTGGAGGACCGGCTCGACTAGCGGCATGAAGTCGGCCGACTTGAGGAGCCACTCAAAGGCCTTTTCGGAAGCGAAGCGCTTGTGCCAGTAGCTCTGCTTGTCAAAGTCGGCTGGCATGATGGCGGCGAGTGCGGCTCGGGTTCGATGGAGGATTGGGGACGAGGGCTCCAGGGGTGGGATCTGGGGCGCGGCGGAGGAGATGGCCATTTATAATTACCCGGGCCCTTTCCTTGGGCTAGGTTTTATCTTATCAATGCGACTCAAGGGCCAAGGGGTCGTGTATCATGAGGATTGAGGATTTGCAAATCCTGTCGAGGGGGGGTGGTTTTCGGATCCACAGAACTGGGATTGTTGGAGAAGGACACGAGATAAGTCATGGGGGCTGCCCAGAAGAATTGGAGCCTTCATGATGGCTTCTTTTCGTGTCCAAGGCAGACGATGGTTTACTATGTTGTTGGTGATATGAATAGCGTTGACAATATTGACTTTGCGACCGTGATGACTGGCGTTTGCAAAGTGAACAAGAGGTCTACTATTGTGATGTTGAACGGGAGCCGTTCCGGTGCATTTTGGGCGTTTGAATGTGGATTTTCGGCTCAAGTGCCGAGTGAGAAAGACGGTGACCAGGATGAGGATGGTCAGGGAATGATCAAAGTGACATTGATAAGATTCATGATGCTCAGGAACAATGTCACGGAGTTGTTCTGCATTTGGATAGTTCTCACAGTTGAGAGTCCATTAGGCAGTGAATGATTGGCTCACGGAAGGAAAATAAATTATGGTTCAAGATGGTGTCTGCAAAAGAAGAAACAAAACTTCTAAAGAACCATTGATGGATGGACCCTTGATCAACAAACTCGAGCGTTCCTGTCCGAGGGTGAAGAAACTGTCCGAGGCGCGGAGGATGACGTCGCCCAGCTTCAACAAAGGCATGATTGGCAGGGGCTGGCCGAAAACCCCAGCCCTATTAATATCCGACCAATTACAGCGTGGGAGCCGTTACTTTCCAGCCACACTCGAGTGAGGCGCTGTTTCAGCTCCGCCTCTTTTCGAGTGCCGCGTCAACCTCCAAGCAATCTTGGCAAGAGGAGGAAAGGATTACGAGGCGCTCGCGCGTGATGGAGGGGGAAGTAAAATCCTACATCTACAAACAAACTTGTCTTTTCAGACTCTGCATCATTCTCGATTTGTTCAACCTATTAATCGTTTCTCTCGTTTATAGCGACCCTGTTTAGACCTTGTTTACATTGAACACCTCAAGGGCGCATCTCCCCCGCAACAGAGTAAACAGACAAGGCTCAAAGAAAAGAAACACACACATATGGCTCCCGCACCGTCTAGTGAGCCCTACGGCATCGGCCATGGCGTCGCCAACAGCCTGCTACGGCGTGATCTCTCAAGCCCTACGCACACGCAGCAGGTGACGCTGGGCATCATCGCCGTCTACGTGGTCGTCATTGCGATTCTATGGAACGTTCCCTATGTCCGCATGGTTCTCTGGCCCTTCAAGGTATACTCTCCCACGGTTATTAGTTGATGGAAGATGTAGCTGACTCTGTGTAGATGCTGGTCATCGCCTTTCACGAATTTGGTCATGCCATCACGGCTGTGCTTACTGGAGGCAAGGTCAAGTCCATCAGCCTCGACCCCAACGAAGGAGGTGTCACGCACATGATTGGCGGCAAGAGCGCCATCACTCTACCAGCCGGCTATCTAGGCTCTTCCATCATCGGAGCTCTCCTGATCTTTTGCGGCTTCAACATCGTCGCTAGCAAAGTCGCCAGCATCGTCCTGGGCGTCTGTTTTCTCCTGACCCTGTGGTGGGGTAAGCGAGACTGGCTGACGATCCTTACCATTCTGCTCGCCGTCGGCCTCCTCATCGCTTGTTGGTTCATTTCACACGCTCAGGCTCTCCGCTTCGTCGTGCTCTTTATCGGCGTCATGTCGTCGCTCTACAGCGTGTGGGATATCTGCGACGATCTGATCCTGCGTAAAGTAAACTCTTCCGACGCCAGCGTTTTCGCCAAGAGGTACGGCGGCTCTTCTCAGTGCTGGGGCGTCATCTGGTCCATCATTTCAGTTTGCTTCATGGCTGCTGGTATCGTTGCTGGCCTGGCTGCCTTTTCTCAGTCGTTTGAGCAGCAAGAAAAGGACTCTCAGAAGTTTATCCCAACCTAGACGAGTGGTTATCTACGGCAAGGGATTGGCGTGATTTCTGTACTTTGGTTGTTTTATTCACTTATATTGGGGGGACAGACTGTTTGAAAAACCGACGGACACAGTTACCTGGAGTTTTTGACTGTTGCTGAATTTGGTCATGATAATGAGGATCAAGATGGTTTGAGAGCTACAGGCTCATAATGAAGAGAGATAGATGTGTACTACAAGTAGCTAGAGGGAGAAAGCGAGACCGGATTGATACCCTCCCAGAATGGAATGGATCTTGTTTCCATAGGCAAACATTGTTTCACTTTACTTTCTGATTGTTGTTGTGACTTGCCGTCGCTTCCCTTAAAGTCGCTATTCAGGGAGGACAATGTGCAGCATCTGTCCCACGAGTTTGCAAAATCTCCGTTCAAGTGACGAACCTCCATCACCACTCGAGTCGGTCCTTTAACTCAGCCGTGTCTGACGAACCCCCTGTGATACCATTGTGACTTGTTCAAGGCGACGGCTCAGCCTCATGAAACGTGATTGACCGCGATAGACTTGTACAGTGTCTAGAGGACGTCAGCTCACTGCTTTAGATTTGATATAAGAGTAGGTGGAGTTTCCTTGGGGAAACATCTTCTCAGAAAAAAACAAACTTGACAAGCAAAGTTGACGTGTACTACAAACCTCGAGAAAGAATCCCTGTTTTTCAACATGACGTCCAACTTGAACCTCCCTTGCGCGATGACCAGAATCGCGCCTCCATGCGAAGAGGACTATTCCCACGAACCTTCTAATCTGAGTCTCTGCGGGGACAGTTATTTCTTCAGCGGACGCTTTAGAAGCTATGGGTAAGAATCCTGCAATGTATGATGTAAGCGGTTTGTTCCTGACTTGCTCTCTCAGCCGAGTCCCCAAAGCTGTTGATGAAAATAATGAACTGGACTTTGATCATGTGCATGGGGCGTATAACACTGAGTACATCGTGCTTGGACCTAGTGAGCGGTATTTTCGCTGCAGGCGTATCCGCGAAGGAGAGGTTGCTGCCATGAGTGAGTTTCCCCTTTACCCCCTATTAGATATAGTCTTGTGCTCATTCTTTGTTAGACAGCAGTGACTTGGAAGACTACGAAGAAATTACCGACTTCTGCGATGACCACCAAGTCGAGCGCCCAGCCTTTTTATGCTTCGGGCCCAACGGCACGTTTTACATCCGTACCGTGAACGATGAAGAGAAGTGGAATCTTCCTGCTGAGACGGTCCGCGATGCTCTTCAGGTGACGCCAGGCGCTGCGCAATCTGGCGCTCAGGGTCTCTGGCTTGGAGCTGAGGGCTCATGGGTGGTCCAATACCGCGACGGCAGCTTCCGCTTCGATCTCCGAGGCCGGTATGCTGCTCTAGAGAGGGCACTTCAACAGGCTCAAGAGGATGGCGTCCGGATTAGTGGTCTTGCTCTGAACCTGCTCGATGCGGATTCGTATGCTTGCGTCTTTAGTGACGGAGTGGTTGAGTACGAGGTCGGACAGGCTGGATTTGACGGGAAAGAGTTTGAAAAGTGGTGTGAGGAGAACTTTGAGCTGAAGGAGCTTCATAAGCTGTTGGCTGAGATTTCCGAGGTTACTAGGAGTAACTGGCCCTGAGCTATCGCGGTCACTACATGATTGTGCTTGCAATCTTGGGGTACGTATTTCATGGTTTGCCATATAAAGCAATCTATAGATAAAGAAAAGATGCCCGAATGAGAGAAAGCTGTCATGAAAACATTAAAACGACTAATATGTACTTTCTTGAACTGTTTCCACCGAATCGGTGGGCGAAGTGCTGCCTGCCTCAGATATTTCCCGTGGACGTGATGAGATTCCTGAAACAATGCTTAATCACTGGTATAGAACCCGCATAGCACATATCAGTATGGCTTATACGTACAGTGTATAGCTTTTCCTTTAGCCGGAGAGTCCCTGGACTTCCGCGGCTCCCGGCCTTACCAATCGGCCTCAGCTCCGTAAACTGCCCCACACATCCGGCAGACTTGTCGGAGTTGTGGGCCTTGCCTCCGGGGTCGATCTTAGTGACGATTTCGGCAAAACCTGCCAACTTACATATCGAAGATGTGACGATTCATGGTGGATGCTAGAAATGCTATTGGCGGCTACTGAGTAGATCCTGGCCAACTCTGTAAGATGCTGACATCGGCTCCTTAGGAAGACGACTAAGCTAAGGCATGTAAGCGCCCTAATGAAGGAAGTAGTCATGTATAAAAGACTCCCACCATGACGCTGCTTTTGGTTTCAGATGACCTCTCGCCCAGTCTACAAGACGCGTAAGCATCGACAATCTCATCATGGCCTCGATAAAAACCCTCTTTCAGCTTTCCTCGCAGCCAACATGGTTCGAGAACATTTGCATCCGACCCAACGGCACCATCTTGGCAACACGTCTCGACGTCCCTGAAGTCTGGGCCATTGATCCTGCCACTTCCTCCGGCTCTTCCTTGTTTCGAATTCCACTCTCCAAAGATGTCCCTTCGCAGGCACTCACCGGTATCTGCGCCCTGCGTCCAGATGTGTTTGCCATCGGCGCTGGCATCTACGACATGGCGGGCGGCACAGGAGCCAAGGCAGGTAGTTTCAGTGTGTGGCTCGCAGACTTGACGGGTCAGGAGCCCAAGGTTACCAAAGTGACCGACATACCTGAGATTGCCATGATCAATGGCATGGCAACGTGGGATGAGAATACGGCCCTTGTTACAGATTGTTTGAAGGGCAAGGTGTACAGGCTCGACGTCACATCTGGCACGTACAATATTGCACTAGAAGATGAGACTATGGAGATACCTGCCGGTGCACCCTTTCAAGTTGGCATCAACGGCCTCAAAGTCCATCGCACGACCGAGCAGATCCACGTTTACTACACCACTACGACCCGGTACTCGGTGTACCGCATGCCCGTCACACAAGAACTAAAGCCTGCAGGTCCCGTGGAGACGCTTGCTTCAGGAGTCGTCCCTGATGACCTCATCGTGGCACAAGATGGAACTGTCTACGTGTGCACCAATGTCACAAACACCGTGGCGCGGATTCCACCAGGTGGAGGAGGCGTGGTGACAGTCGCAGGAGAGGCAAAGGCTATGACACTTGCGGGATCAACGGCGTGTGTGTTTGGCGAAGGAGAAAAGGTGCTCTATGTTGCTACAGCTGGAGGCAATGCGACTCCTGTAGATGGCAAGACTGAGCCAGCCAAAGTTGTAGAGGTCAGATTGGACTAGGAGAATAAGGTCAAGGCAGAAAGCTGTTTTAGAGACGACCATTCAAGTCTGTAGCTCAGTGATATTCTCACTCGAGTTAGTTAGGCCCTTAATGACCATTCTATCATCGTCCCATGCCTATGTATCGGCGACAAGCCCCAACGCCAGGTTTCCCCAATCCGTAAATCGACAAAGTCCATATTGTTACGATTGCAATGACAATGATCACCACCTTCCACGACGTCCACGACCTCCGCCGAATCCTCCCCGTCCTCCACCTCCTCCTCCACCCGACATGTTCTGTTCGTATCCAAAGTTGCTCTGGTTCCCGCCGAAGCCACCTCCAAAGTTGCCTCCCTGCCCTCCTTGGCTGCCTTGTCCTCCAGCACCACCAGCATTTTGCATACCGGCAAACATGGCGTTCATCTGGCTGGGATCCATCTGACTTGGATCCATGCCCGAGGCCATCATTTGCTGCATCATTGCCTGCATCTCAGGGGGCATGCCGTCCATCCCGGGCATACCAGCAGCCGAATTGCCACCGCCAGCACCGCCCGGCATTGCCATACCACCCATCATCATCATGTTGAACTCGTCCATCATCTTCTTATTGTTCTGGGCAAAGACATCGGCGCCAAATTCGCCTCGAACTGCTTCTTGCTTGGCGGCATAGAGTGCCCACGTAAACTCGTCGAAGCCGTAGTTGAAGTAGTCGCTAATGTCCGTACCAGGCTTGCGCCACGGCTTGTCGTTTTCTGGGAGATCTTTTTCGCGTCATGTTAGTCTTGGACATGGAGCCAAGGAGGGCTTCAACCAACCTTCGTCAATGTTGACTTGTGTAATGGGCTTCCCTGAAGCAGCGTGAACAGGAATCGCGTTGACGTCTATCGTGGATTTTGAGGCAGCCGCAGAAGTCTTGTCGGCGCTGGGTGCAGCAACGTTGACCGAACTGGATTGTCGTGACTCGCCTTCCTTCTTGACAGGTGCTGATTGTGTCGGCGAGTCATTCGAGGCTGATCTTTGAGGGATGTTTCGAATATCGCTATATTTGGATTGACTATTCACGTGGTCGAGCGGTTAGTACTGCTCCCCGGCGCATTCAAAGTTTCACGTACGAGGGAGGAGCTGGTTTGGAGCCATCTTTTCGTTCGGTGATGATATCAATATCCTGCAATCGTGTTAGAGAGCGCGTATGAGAAATAACCGTAGGTTACCCACTGAGTCGTCATCATCCTCGTCCATGGCCGCACCCTCATCTTCCTCTTCGCCTTCTTCAAGATCATCTGCCTTGGGCTTGTCGTCTGGGGTTGCGCCCTGGGCCTTGGGCTCCTCAGGCACGTAGAGATCATCGTCCTCGTCGATATCCATGTTGGCGACCGTTAAGACGAGAAATTGAGACTGTTTCGTAAAGTGGGTGGTGAAAGAAAAGAGTGATTGCAAGCTGGATGTATATGTACAAGGACGTCAAGCTCCAAGCTCTCGAGGACCATGAGCTGTAAGCGCGCCGACATTTCTCCGGCCTGCTCTTTCACCGTCGCTGCAGGTACTGACCGAGACTGACCGACGCTCACCTTAGGCCCAACTGGTCCAAGCGCCAATCCAGACCCAAACAGCTTTCGCTAGGCCTCTCAAGCTTGGAACATTTTACCCTGTCGCAGCCTCGCAACTCGGTCGTGTCGTTTCGCGTGAATCCAACCTCCGAGACAGCGTCGCGCTTGCTCAAGGAGCCTATTCTGTTGCCCTGAGCATGTCATTGACCCGTTCAGCAAGCGGCCCAGCAGGCGGTCTAACCATCAACACCGGCGCGGCCAACGCCTTGTAAGCTCCACACCAAACCAAACAAAGCATCCACATCCATCCAGCGACCGACTCAAGACCTCAACCATCCTTCACTTTTGCTGACCGGTGCGCTTTTCCTCTTGTCTACAGCGGCGCCACCGCTTCGAAGCCTTCAGCTGCCGGCACTCTGTTCGGTTCAGCTGCGAATACCCCCAACAACACAACGACAGCGCCAGCCGGAGCAAGCACCATGGCGACGGCGGGAAGTCTCTTTGGCGGCGGCGCGCAAAAGACGGGGACGGGTCTTTTCGGCGGAGCAGCAAGCACTACAGCTTCAACTGGCGGCGGCCTGTTTGGAAACACCCAAGCAGCGACTACTGCGCCTACAGTGGGCGGTCTCTTTGGAACTACCCCTGCAGCGACCACGACAACAACGGGAGGCCTGTTTGGCAACACAGCTGCGAAGCCTGCGATGACTGGAACTGGTCTCTTTGGCAACACTCCCGCAGCAACACAACAGGCCCCAGCAGGAGGTCTCTTGTCCGCGACGACCACAGCCACTTCACTAGGCACACCAACTCCTACGGGTCAGAAGCCAGCAGGAGGCGGTCTGTTTGGAAACACTGCTACTGCTCAGGCGGCACCCGCCACAGGCACAACAAGTCTCTTTGGCCAGAAGCCAGCGGGAGCAAGTCTCTTTGGAGGTGCTGCGCCTGCTCAGCAGACTACAACAGGACAGTAAGTTTGTTTCCCTTTGAGATACAGGCAGTCTTGCTGACCCATGACAGAAACGCAAACCCATTCGGGCAGTCGACGGCTCAGGTATCAGCCGTCCAGATCAACTACGACAACATCCGCCATCGAACACGCTTCGACGACCTGGCCAAGCCGGTACAAGATGAGATTGCGCTGCTGGACAAGGGCATCCAGAGGGTGATCAAGATGCGGGACGAAATTGGAGAGTTCATGCCACAGCACGAGAAGGATATTGAACAGCTAGGCCGAGATGTCAGCTTTGTCGAGTCCAAGTTCCGTATCGTCGATGCGGCCCTCAACAACGACGTCAACACCGTCAAGAATCTGCATGACCAGACACGGAAGAATGCAGCCGATGCCCGACTGTGCTTCCGCGGCGCCGACAACCTCAAGCTGCCAGCGCACTACCACCAGACGGGCTTGTTTGCCAGCCAGGCCCCAACGGCCAGCTCGAACGGAGGCGACGCCGCGTCAACGCACGCAGATGCGCAGGATCTCATCACCTACTTCAACCGCATCTGCGACGACATAGAAAAGTCAAAGGCCCGCCTCGACGAGTACCGCGGCAGTATCGAGCGTGATATGCCCGGCGTCGAGAACGGTCTGTACGAGCAGATCCGCTCCCTACGCGATCGTAGCACCACGAGCATCGTGGTGCAGGACAAGCTAAACGAGGTGCTCCTGGCACTGCGGGATACGGGTAATGCCATTATTTACCAGGCTGGGCAGATTGCCGACACGCGAGAGCGACTGTCCCGACTTCAAGCGGGTATTGTGGACAGCGGAGTGTATGGTCTGAGCATCAATGCCTAAGCGGACAGGAGAAGGAGGGAATGTGGATAGAGATTGTTGGGAGGTAATATCAATCAATCAATATATTGGGTATCGTGAGAGCTCGGTTTCGAGAACAAGGGGGATCGGTTATAGAGGCCGCGTGTATGGATTGTAGCAAGATTCTTGAAGGAGGCGTCTTTATGACATGTACGAATATACAAGACAAAAACTTGACAGGTTTTGAAAGACTGGGAGTAGGGTGAGCACAAATTGGACAATTTACCATTGAAGATCAGTCATCCTCCTGTCTTGAAGCTATCAGTGGCCATACTGTGATGAAAACTCTCATTATTCTTCTGCCTCTCGCGCCCATTGAATGGATCGCGGGGCATGGGTATCAAACCGATTGAATGCCGTGATAAGTAAGTACCTATACAAAAACCGTCGCTTTTTATCTTTTTTGTCCTTTGGCCTCTTTTAAAACGTCCCTTCTCCATCGCCGTCATCTCCATAGTCGTCTCCAAACTCGTCGCCGTTATCAAAGTAGTTTTCTGCATCGTAGTCGCCTGCATCTTCATCGTCGTACACCTCATCTTGATCATCCTCATCCGCAGCCTCTTCATCCTCCAGATCAGCAATCTCGTCGCCTTCTTCCTCTTTAAGAGCCTGTAGACGCTCTAACAAGTTCTTTCCCTGCATCTCATCTTCACCGTCACCAGCTAGACCAAACGCCTCTTCAGCGCTGGGTAGCGCGCTGATGTTGCTGAGCTCAAGCTTCCGGCGCTTAAAGCCCTTACCACCAACACCTCCCGTGGTCGCAGCCGCGTCGATGGTGTCGTACAGCTCGCTGGGGAAGAGCTCGCGGCAGACGGGACGGTTGGACCAGTCGGGCAGGGCGCGCTCCTCGCGGACAAACTTGTGCGAGTAGGTGGGGACCGCGGTGAAGGGGTCGAGAGAGGCCTTGCTCTTGACGCCGAAGCGGGCGTTTGCTTGGGCTTGTCCGTAGTGTTTTCTTGGGACTGTTGGATCGTTGATAGCTGTGCGTTTTGACGTGTATAGAGGAGAACCGTGGATCTGTCGCCGGAGGAGGAGTAGGTGTTGTACGGCGGACTGTTCGGTTGTCGCTAGTTGTCGAGCGGTAGGGACGACGTATGGCTGACAAGTGTTAGTAAAGCGCCTTTCTTCTATCGTATATCAAGGGTGTATTGAGGCAATACGCACAGGAAACAGCTCTGAGGGTCGCGCATCCGGCTCCTCACCAGTATCCCAAGGCACATTTGGTCGTCCACCTCGTCCACCACCTCTTCCACCACGGCCACCTCCTCGACCGCCTCGAGACATTTGATTCGATCGCGCAAGCTCGTAGAAAACTGTAGATTGTAGCAGAGTTGAAATGTCGAGCGTTGTAAGCTGTTGTTGTCGTTGCGACGCTGAGTATGAAGGTTTGACGCAGAATGGATTTTTTGCGGGGGCCGGCCGAGGAAAGAGCGGAATTTCCTCCGCCATGACGAATGCCCCGCAGTGTATGTATGTATGCCTGTCAACTTGCAGCTTACATAGCTCTCTCTCTACCCTGCCTGCCTAGAAACAACACCAAAGAATACATCACGACTTTTGACAAATACAACATCGAAAAGAGAGTTTTAATCATGACGGAGAGACTCGTGCCTGAGTACGATATGCAGGATGGAACTTTGCCCGTCACGGGCCTTGAAGAGTTGCAGGCGCATCTTGAGGAGTTGGTGAATGATCCAGCAACGCCGTTCAACGCCAAGTTGTTTGACGATGTTGAGCTTCAGCTAAATGGTATGTCTTCCATCTCTTATATTCCTTTGATAATAAACACACATATTAATCTATCGACCAAATTGCTAACTCGTGCTAGAATCCAACATTCCTCCCCTCTTAACAACTCTTCTCCCTCCTCTCACAACAATCCTCAAGCAGACAACTCAAGATCCAACCCCCCTCCTCTCACTCGCCATCAAACTCCTCTCTCCTCTGAATTTCTCCCGCTGCCTCACCATCGCGGACCCTCAATCTCTTCTCGCCGCCTTGCGCTCTCCCCTTCCTGGCGCGAACCTCCTCGCTTTGGCCATCATCCACAAAGCGGCTCGTACTCCCGGTGATGCCGCCATCTTGAGTACCATTCCTGATGTTCTTGAAGAGGTTGTGCGGAGATGGCTCGACAGCCCAGATGTTGGGGTTGGTGAGCGTGCCGGAAGAGTTTTGGGTGATATTCTAGAGACAGACTGCGATGTCATCGTTGAGGGTGAGGGAGTGAACGGCGTATCAGTTGCGACCAACGGCATCTTTGGCAATGAGCTCGTCAAGCGCCGTGTTCCTGGCCACGCTCGTGTCTGGCGCCTCCTCTTCCTCGACCGTCAGTTCATCACTCTCGTCACCACGCTCTGTCGACCTGAAACTATCGACCGCCAGGCAACCCTCGCCCAAGGCCGGCTCCTACGCATTCTACCCCGTCTGGTCGCACTCAACCCCCGCGCCCTATCAACGACACCTTTCCCAGACATTCTCTCTTTGCCTGATGCAGCTTCTGAGCCTGCTGGTCACGGGCTTCTGCAGTGGGCTGCGTTGACCATGGTTGACACCACCGACATACTCATGCACTTGAGTCTCATCGACTTTTACGAAACGTTTATAAGCATCATGCGGGTCGCGGGCAACTCGACAGACAAGGACAAGGTTGTACGTGATCTGGTCAGGACGGCTGCTGATCGCGATGATCAACTCAAGACCTCCCTAAGAGGACTTCCTGATCGGACAGTCGAGGAGGAAGCAGTGTCTTTGGCTAGGTATATCAGCCAGGTACTTGACTAAAGCCTGAGAGAACCAAGTTGTATGATACCCAAGAAAACGGCATGATTAGACACGGAACGGAAAAGATACAGGTATTCATCTTTAAAACTCAACCACATAAAACATGCATATATTGTCACATCCGGTATAAGTCATACTACAAAACCCCCCCAGACCGGCCTACCGCCGTCTCGGGTTATCTAGATAAATGCCATCAAAAATCAACATTCTCTAATATTCCATCCAACGCCCCGCGCCCCTTCACAGTCAGCAGCCGCCGAGGGACTCGCTCCTACAGCATCCTCCGTGCGTCCGCCTCATGATCTGCAATTGTGCCCTCCGTAGTCCGGCTCACAACGCTATCTCGTCGATCGTCACCAGCTCGAGACATGCTCTCGATTCCGAGACCAACCACCCCGACTCGGCGCAGCACTACCAAAAGTGCCGCTCGCAAGTCAGGAGTGAGGTCCTTGATGAGCAAGTCGATCGCCAAAGGGTAAAAGTCGGGGATGTGTGTCTTGAAGGCGTCCTCGGGGAACGTCGCAAATCCCTCCAAAACATCAACCACAACCGGCCGCCAGGCAATGATGTTGCGATGCTGGCTCTCATCCTCCAAAGTAGAGTAGCTGTGAACAATGTCCTTGCATAGAGGTACCAGAGCAGCCTCAACGTCAGGCCGGCTCTCCAGTCGCTCCGGTGCGTTATCCGCAAACATGCGGAAGAGGATCGAGATGTATGTGGCAGCAGACCCGCTCTCCTGCTTCAGAAGGTTGGGGGGCTGCTTCATAAAACCCTCTCGCCACAGCCTCATTCGGAGCTCCTTATCTTCGTTGAAGCGGCGAGCGAACTGGAAGGATCGCTTGAGCAGTGCCATCAGTCGCAGGAGCTCAGCCGATGGGATATGTGTGTAGACGGTGTCGTTGCTAAACAACTCATTGACTGTCTCGATCATGAGGAGCTGAAGAACGCAGCGGGAGATGATTCGGTTGAAGAATCGTCGCCGAGCTGCCGTCACAACAATCGGCTGTTGCTGAAGGTTTGATGATGGCTTGAACTCTTCCAATGGAGCTTGGTGGTTCTCTGCTGTCGGCGTGCGCAAGTCCTCCTCGGCATGTCCGGGAGACAACGGAGGCGCGGCCGATTCATCGTCGGCCTCCTCGGTGCCGTTAATCTTGAGCGACTTCTCATCCACTGGAACATCGGTTTGAGGAGTGCTGGAGAAATCGAGCCCATTGGGTGGGGGCTCTATCGACGCCGTTGAGTTGATTGCTGTGGCGGTGAATAGCTGATACGCCGTTGTTCGCTCAAACAGCTCACAGAAGGCACCAACAAGCTTATTCCAGTGCTGAGGCTTGAACTTGGTGACATTCTTCAAGATCAGCTGCTGCAGGCAGTTGCTTCCAATCCGGGAGATAGTGTCGTTCTCTTGGCAGATGCAGAGCGCCAGAAGCTCCAAGAACCTGTCCAACATATACTCCAAGGCATCAAAGTAATGCGTGAACAAGGTGATCATGTTTCGGAGCGCTTGAATCATAGTGGTCGACAACCAAACTGAAAGTTCCTCATGGTTGAGAACGTTGGACATCTCTGGTCGAGATCTCAACACCATGAAGATGGGGTAGAGTTGCTGTCGCCACAGGATATCCCAGAATTCGGATGGGAAGTCACCGCCATATCTGAGCAAAGTCTCAAAGAAGTACTCGAGAGCGTTTGAACGCACCTCCAGGTCCTCGCCCGTCATCAGGACGTCGTGGAAGGCGAAGAGTACAGGGAACCAGTAGCCCTCCTCAACCGATGTATTTGATCGGGATCGCTTGATCTCAGGTGACTTGGGGGCTCCCTCTGGAGCGGCCGTCTTGTTGTACTTTTGCGACAACGGGCACTCGGGTGTCCTGAGCATGGCAGGAATCAGAGACTTGAGCAGCTCCAGGGCTGCCAGACTCTTCTTCTGGAACTTGAGGTTCTTGGAGAACTCGGTCAAGCACACAATGAGGTCGGTAAACGCGCCTTGAGAGATGACAACACCAAACTTGGTCTTGTACACTTGGTTGACGTTCTCGTATGCCAGGTTGACGATGCTCTCGTATGGCTCACGGGCCGCCACCGTAAAGACACCAAACATGGTCCTCCAGCCTGAGCGGATGTTATCTCCCCTGGCCTGGATCATCTGAATCAGACATCGTAGAACCATGTCCTTGACCGTGACATTGTGCGAGTTGGCAAGCACATGCTCAAAGGGCTTCAAAAAGTCCTTTTGGAACTTGAACCCCGCCAGCTCTTCAATCTCCATGAAGCGCATCGACAGCTGTCGCAGCGAGTCGAGGGCAAAGAAGACAATGTTCATGTTGTTATGACATCCCACTCGGTTGAAGTGCTCGCCAAAAACGTCCCAGATATTGCTCCATTCGAACCTCACACGATCCATGTTGTAGTAGCTGATCTCGACAATCTTCTGCAAGCTATATGTTCGAGGTGAGTCGTTGGACCCTGAAACCTTGATCTCATCCCAGCTGACCTCAGTCAAAGCCTTGGCGAACTGAACCATGGCCTCACCAGTGAGGTTTGCCGTGTTGGTAAAGATGCGGTCAACGCTGCGAATCACTTCATCTGAGCGACTCTCAAGCGCAATCTCGGTTGAGAAGCCCTTGGATCCGGCGGTGCCTGACCTTTGCCGAGGCCGCTTGGACTGGGTCGAAGAACGAGAGTCTGAAGTTTCTGTCCTTTGCGGAGGCAAGAAACGAGCCTTGGATACATCAGGAACAGCACTCTCGTCCACACCCCCTGAAATAAGCTGCAGTCGATCCAACTGGCTAATACACATCAAAATGTCCTTCCAAGAATCTTTAAGAACATTACCCTCTGTCTGACCCAGCTCGAGGATGACCTTGAGAGCCTCAATGTTCTTGGCCAGGATTTCCTGCGGGTTGTTCAAGTTGGTGGCGTTCTTCAAGGCAGACATGAACGCCTCTCTGGGAGTGGAAAGGTCAAAGAGGCAGGCAATCTTGGTAGCCAGCTTCATTCCCTCCAGGCACAACTTGTTGACCTCGAGGTTGTGAGACTTCTGAATCTGGCTTGAGAGGGTCCAGAAGATGGACATCCAGGTCACGTCAAACATGGGTCCAACATGCTTGAATGAGGTTGCTTCGATGTACTTCGGGCCACTCTTGGTGGCGTTCCGGCGCTGGCTCTTGAACAAGTTCTTGAACAGTTGCTCAGAGCGCAAGGCAATCTCCTCCGACTGCTGCACATATGCTTCTCTTTGCAGATCTCGGCCAACATTGGACAGAGCCTGACCAAGACCCGCAGCAATACCAACAGATGGAGCTGGGGCATTGCCAGCAGCCGCCGCCGCATCGCGCTCACTCTTGAGCACAATCTCGTTGGCTGCAATCTCATCGTAGATGCCTAGGAGGTAGTCATCGGGCAAATCGGCGTTGTCGTTAATACCGCGATTGTTCTTGATAAACTCCTCCTTGCTCATGCGCTTGGCAACCTTGACACTGTGGAGATCAGTGTTCAGGAGAATGACCGAATAGGCAAGGACATAGGCAGTATCGGCGTTGGCAAAGGCGTTGGGGTTGCCCAGGACATAACGCTCGGCAAACTTGAGCATGAAGCGATCAATCTTCTGTGCTTCACCTGGCAGACGGAAGGACTGGAGGAACTGGCGCAGGGCATCGACAAAGCGTCGCTTAGCAAACTCCATTGTGTCGACAAAGGCATGCATGGTGTCAATGTTGAACTGGTCACCCTCACCCAGGTACTCGCCAATCTGGGCCTTGTCGAGCTTGTCTTCCTTCAACAAGAACTCGGCAATGTCCTTGGGGGTTTCACTTGCGATGAAACCATCACGGAGCAACAGCTTGATTCCCTTCTTCGGCTTGAAGTTGAACTGCCTGATGGCATTTGTCAAGGCCGTCTTCCTTGCCTTTTCCTTCTCCAGCTGATCGGGGTCATCCTCGAGTATGGGAGTAGATGGTGGAAGAGGCGTCTCAATACGGGAGGAGCTATCGTTGATGCTAGGGTCGATAGACGGTCTGATGTAATCCAACGATGCCTTGTTGTCGGTATTTTCGTTCCGTGCGGGTTCGGCATCGCCCCGGATCGGTGCCGACCAGTTCACCAAGGACCGAAGAGTCTCAACCAATGCCTCAATTGATAGTCGCTTAATGGCGTATTCCTTGGGGTAGTCGGGCTCAGGCTCCTGGTGCGGTGCGATGTGGGCAACAGTCAAAGGAGGCGGCAGAGTCGCCTTGAGCTGCCACTCACTCGCAGGGTTCGTCTTTGCTCGCATCTCTTCATACACTTGCTCGTGGATAGTCGTGATAGTGATAGGGGTGGTGGAGAACTTGGACAAATCCTCGATGATCGTCTGATAAATGTTGTCGACGGTCTGATCGCAGTCGTAATTAAGGTAGATTTCGACCAAGGCCTTGGGGTCGGCGCAGAGTCGGTTAAGCACAGTGACGAACTGAAGCTTTTGAGATAGGGGGGCTGTCTTTCGGGCCAGGAGGGCGAGATAGATCTCGTTGAGGAAAACCTCGATTTCTTTCTGTCATGTGTGTAAGTTACTTGCAATTTGTGCGCCTGAGTCAAAAACATACCTTGAAGTCGGCTCGCATATACTTGAGCATCAACCAAAAGATCTCGCAGCTGACATTAAATATCCTGTCGACCGAGCTCGCGCCATTGCGAGTGATGCTGAGACAGAGGTAGAACTTGATGGCTTGAAGGAAACTCGTGGGTTCGTTGCTTTTAGAATTCTTAATCGTACACAAGGGCGAAGTGAAGACGGCAATGTTGTTGTTGAGGAGGGTGTGGATGAGGTGGAGGGAGATGAGCTTGGAGCGCATCGGCTGGCCGCGGACATCGTAGAGCTGATCGGGCGGGAGAACCTTGGTGGACAGGTTGCAGAAGGATCGGAAGACGAGGTAAGCATCGCGGATGTAGACCTCATCCTCGGCGTCCAGCACCTCGCCATCCTCTACTGACCCAGAGTCGTGTCCCGTGTGGTCAGAGGTTGAAGCATCTGTCTCCTTATGATGCTTCAGCCGGGTAACCATGGTAGGTCCATCTCCAAGATTCGAGTCGTCAAAGCTCTTGCGATGCTCGAGATCCTTCAGGGTGAGCTTAACAGCGCTCTCCGAAGGCTCTACAGAGGCGGAAGCAGTCTCGGGTGTAGCGGGCGAGTCGTCGCGGTCATGGCCATCGTGGGCGCCGTTGGTCGAGTCGGCCTGGTCAAAGGTGACATTGCTAGAGCCATGCTTTAGGTTCTCGAGGTTCAGACGGGCCTCCTTCATGTGCAATCTCGTCTTGACACGCTCAAAGACGGTACCGACCATCTGCGTCAAGGTACCCTGTGCAACCTGCTGGTTGGCGGTGCTCCGCGACAGCAAAAAGACATTGTAGACTTGGCGCACGGCCTTGAGGAGGCCAGCGCCATGGACGACAATCTTGTCATTGAGGACAGCGGCAAGCAGGGACTTGACAATCTGTAGCTGAATCTCGACAGCAGTCGTCTCGCCCTGGAAACAGTTGCAGATGGTATCGATGGCTCGCTCGATCAGGGGGGGAGCAGGTTCGGCGCCCTCTTCGGTTCCCTCGGGAGGGCTGCCCGGGACGGAGAAGTATGAGTAAGAAATAAGCTTTCCGATGCAGTCGAGGGCAGTCGTGGTAAGCTGAACATTGGTAGATCGCGAGGCCAGCTGCAGAGGAGCAAAGACTATCTCGGGGTCGGGGAGCTGGTCCTGCTCCTTGATGGCATCGAGGGCCTTTGTGGTGGAATCGGCCAGCTGCTTGTTGCGCTGGGCATCCTTGGACGAGGCGATGGCCTCGAGCGAGGACACGACGAATTTGAGGGAGCTCATGAGGGAGCGCAAGGAGGACCAGCGGCCATTCGGCAAGGGAATGCGGACGAGGCGAGGTTCGAGATGGTCGAGTCGGGTCGGGGGGGAGGAGGATGTTGCAAGGTTGACGTCGCTCTCACGGGGCAATTAAAGAAAGGAGACGGCGGCGGCGCGGGAGAGGCGAGCTAGAGCTCACGACGAAAGCCTCTGTCTGTTTGAAACGGAATAATGCGTATGCACGCAAAGAGGTTAAAAAAAAATGACCTGCAGAATGGTAAAGTTTGTCTCTTCTCTTCAAGTCGAGACGATTATAAACAAAATAAACAAACAAGACCAGGAAATGTCGGTGCCTCGAATCTTCCTCTTGGCCTTTCTCGATGCTGGCTCTCAGAGCTAGGGATGGTACTTTACGAAGTGGACAGCGTTTCCAGTGGAGGCTCCGCCAAAAATGAGCTCCCCCCCCCGGCCCCGAAAAGATCCCCCAATAGTCCTGCCAACCGGCCAATCACAGACCAGGCGCACGCGTGTCTTTAACTGTAATCCAGGGACTGCCAATTCCCGACTCTCCGTTAGTCTCAAGCCACACGAGGCTGAGCAGCCAACCAAACTGGACCCCTGTGTTCTCCATGGATGGAAGATTCATACAGACATCGGTGGAATCTCGCATGGAAGCCTAGGATTCTCGAATAGAGTTGCCTATTGCTCCAAATTAATTTGGCGAAATTACCTTTCATGTCCAACTCACAGAAACCCAGCTTCTCGTACGCGTCATGCTAGATGTCCCAAACTATCAATCCTCGGCGGCTGTTCAACAACAAAATGTCGACCCAGAAACCGCCCTGCGTCAGTCTCGGATGCTCGAGTCTGCAAGGAGCCACTCCCGTCTCGTTGTTACCAGCATCAACGAGATTGAGCTTCTTATAAAGAGCCTGGAAGCAAAGTCTAGACCCGTCGCATCATCTGGGCTACCAACTTTTATTCGAACCCTCCAGCGCGAAAATGAGACTCTCAACGGTCTTGTGAATGAGCTGTCAAGTACAAGTCTTGACGCTCAAAAGCTCACACTCCAAGATCGAAAACTTGATGCTAGTGTCAACGTGGTCAACCGCAGTGTTGCACAATGGGATCGACTCAAGCGATGTGGTGGTTTCGTCGCTGTCAACCAAGCCTTCCAGGGCTCATCCAAGGACGGACGAAAACGCGAAGTTGCAAAGCTTGACATTGCAGGTCAAGAAAAGCAAAAGATGCATCGTCTCTTGAAAGAGCAAGGCCGTGTTGAAGTGGACGTTGTCGAAGGCGGACATGAGTGGCTCGCTGTCAAGGCCATCTCCCCTGACCGTCTTGCCCGGCAGATGACTGACTGCGGTTGGGGATGGGGCGACCACGAACTCGGTGACAAGGTCGACGACGATGAGTGGGAGGATACTCCTCTTGCAAAATTTGTGCGGCGGTTAGTTGCAGCTGCAAGGATGAACCGCCACGAATATCAGTTTCCCCGGATACGACTGGTTCTCTCCAACCTAAGTCGTGGGGAGGAAGAGTTAGACATCTTCCTCTATCAACTGGAGCACATGGATCCCTTAGTTCAGGTTATCATCGAGGATCAGGACAGTACCTTTATTACAGCACCTCCTCCACCCTTGGATGAAGCTCTGGAGAAGCTGGTGGGCGATGAATTAGCGTCTATAACGTCGACGGTAAACCTTGATCACACCATCTTGATTGACCTCATCTCGGATTTGACGCATACGGATCTTCAGCCCCAACCATGGCAGTCACGGACAACGCGGGCGCAAATAGAGGAGGAAAATAGTCACGAGGGTGGACTCATGGCTCGCACTTTATATCCAGTGCTGGCAGGACGCAGGCTCGTCTGCACTTGGGAGGCTGCGGTTCACTTCCATGATGTGTTGGAGACTGTCGGGACCGCAACTGAGTGGGAGCGTGGGAGGTTACTAGTCCCATGGGACGATGATATACGGAACATGTCTTCAGAGATGATTCGTCAGCGCTTCCAGGAGCTCTCCATTCATACCTTACCTGCCGATGTGCAGGTCCCCGTCACTATCTTGCATGAGTCTTGGGAAATGGATGCAATCACAGATGCCGTCTCCAAAGGGACTCTGCCCCACGTCGCTCAGGATGTAGCACGCAGCAGTGGCTTCAAGAGCTCCAAGTTGTCCATCTTTATGTACGGGTGGGCAGCAGGCCTGACTACAATCACCAGCAATAAGGAAGTACGAGGGCAGATCCGGACATGGGTAGAGACGCATCGCACGGATGATGAGGAAATTGGGCCTCAGATATGGAGGGTAGATGTTACACGGAATCTCTTGGCAAAGGCTGCAAAGCCGAGGGAGGGGTGGCAAGAGAAGGATGGAGCTGAGGCTGATGAAGGAGATGATGAATGATGATTTAGATTATATTCTGTGCATCCGAAAGCATTAAACGTTTGTGGAAATTCTCTTTATCCCAAGGGGGTGGTGAATATTGGCAATAGTTGAGTTGACGCTTCATAGATACCCTACAACCCGACTTCAGTAAACAAGTTTCCAGGCTCTTCAACACTTTACCTAACTGAAATTATATTACTACAAAATCTTTCCTGTATAAATATATTTGAGATTTATATGTCTGGGTATTCATTGTTTATAGAGCAGTGATTGGTCTTGTATCCTCTATCATCATATGCCAAACGCCGGGACGCCAATACCAGTCTTTCCACTCCATCTTGCCCGCCCCCAAGCTCGAAACCAAATGCAACTTGGTTACATACCCAGTATTAGTATGGTCATACATCCCTAATTCGCCAGAGGTAGTGCCACTTAGCCTAGAACTGCGAGACAACCGACGGGTCGACCGAATCCAACTGCTGCGGCATACCCACGGCGCCCTTTGACCAGGGGAACCCGCCCATGGTATCCCACCCTAGATCCCCCATCCAGTCAAACGGCATGTCCACAATGCCCTCCATACTTTCGACTGCTGGGGTCTCGGCTGGAACCATCCCCTCTTCGGTATCATCCAGTGGCACGCCTTCACGCTCCGCAACCTCCTTGAGCAGATCATAGCTTCTTATGCTGACCTTGGCGCCCGCGTCGATAACGACCTGATCAATTTCCTCCTGCGACATGCCAACCTCTATGGCCTCGGCCAGGGCTATGCACGCCGTCATGAAACAGTACCCCTTGATGTTGGTTTCGGTTGAACGCAGACGCCGCTGTGCCCATTCCTGCGCAGCAGTGAGAACCGTTCGAAGCTCGCTGCAGCCCATGGAAGGCATCCCACCTAGACTCTCACGTTGCTCCTCCTTCTTCTTGATGAATTCAAGGGCAATGGAGAAAAGTGTCTGTACGGGGACAATACGAAAGACCCCTGAACCGTTGGTGATGAGCCTGTCGAAGCACGTCGTCGGGTCGAGCGCACCAGGAGGTGCGGCTGGGTATCGAGGTGTCGCCAAACCACAGATCTGGGCGATCTTAAGAGATGAGTCGAGCGAGACTTTGCGCGAGTAGTAGTACGTCGGATCCTCGGCAGAACGGGCCAGCATGGGCTGGTGAAGAGATAGGAAACAGCGATAGGTGAACATCTGGATGAGGGCGCTGTGGAACTGGTTGAATATGGCCCTCGAGCTGCGTCTCTGCGCTTGAGAAAGAGCAGCGAGAGTCTCTGTCAGGGTGCGACAGGCCTTTGTGAGCTCCGAGTTGAGACGTAGCGTTTCTGGGTACGACTCCTTGGACCGGAACTCGTTGACGTGCTTGATGATGGCGAGGCGAAGCGGCTGAGACTTGACTAGTGCTAACTGAACCGACATATCGGTTAGCTCCTCCGGGTTACTGGTAGGCTGTCGGCTGCTGTCTGGTTCGTCGCTGAGTTGGTCGTCGTTGAGATTAGCAGGGAGCTTCGTGTCGTAGTGCTTGGAGGAGAGGAGTGGCGGCCCCCCAGCATCGTAAGAGGATTGCAGATTGAGCTCGAGAATAGTTGCCCACAGACGACGGCGCATCTCGGAGCGATAGACGGACATATTTCCCAAGTGCTTTGGATCCCTATGAAGACCCATGTACATGGCCTGCCTGATCAGGCTTCCCGTTGACACCCATGTAAGATCCTGTCCAACTGCACAGCACGCTTTGGCGATGACCAGCATGCACATGATCTGAATTCCGGCGATGGTCATCCTACTCTTCTCGGGAGGAAGCATAAGCCAAATCTGAACCTCATGCACCCACTGCATGGCAGCAGAGTGAAGACTAAAAATGTCGTCGTAAACGGTTGCCCCAATAGCCATGCAAAGCTGGAGCTGCATGACAAACACTTCGCTGGCAGCATCGGGATTCTGCCAGTACCGTTCATACTCAGCTCTAAAGGTAGGTCCATGGAGAATACGGACGACGCCCTCGAAGGTGCGGAAGTAGGCGTCGACAAGCTGGTTGGCGAGTTGACGCTCAGGAATCGTCTTGCCTAGGTTGTCTGATGAGATGGGCTTGAGCCGGTGGGCCTTGATGGCGCGAGCAAGGGTCTTGCATTTGATAAAGATGGCGTGGGGTTCTATCTTTCGAACTTCTGCGTTGCGAAGAACATTGAGAATGTTGGGGAACTATGAGATGTTAGCGAAGTTGATGAAGGTAGAGTGAGCTTAACTGACCATGTCTGCACCATTCATCCAATGGCTCTGGCCAAAGAACCTCGTTTTGGATACAGTTCCCTTCATAGGTGCTGGTTCCTCTTGTTCTTTCTCCTCAAACTCAAACTCAACCAACTTGTCTTCAGCAGGGTGTGTGATGTGACAAGTATTTGCGAGCTTCTGCTCAAGCTCTCTCACCCTCGCAGCCAGGGCATCTACCGTCGATGCCCCCGAGGCAGATCCCATGGTAGAACTCTGAACACTAGAAGGGGACCTACCCGGTCGGGCATTGGTCGTAGGGGAGTGTCCTTGAGTGCTGGTGACAGGGGCCGACCTCGCCGGGACGTCTCCGCCCCCGGCTTGGCCCGCAGTGCTCCTCCTTGCCCGTGAAGCCGGGATGTGAGTCGGAGCGTACGTGCACGGCGAGATCTTGGCTTTCACACAGTTGACACATGGGAGACTGCGGTCACACCGGATCTTCCTCCGGCGACACTGCTCACACGAAAGGGCCGGCCGGCGCCGCTTCTTCTCGGGCTTGGCAGCCGGTGCCGACGGCGGAGGCACGGCGGTCCCACCGGAGGCGTCCCCGGAGGTGAAGGCCTCCCCCACGGGAAACGCAAAGACCTCTTGCTGAGAAGAAGAACCTCCGCCCTCATCTTCTTGTAATTCGCTGAAAAAGATGCCGTGAGGGGCAAGTGACAGAGAGTCGGAGGGCGCCATCCTTCGGCCGTTAAAATCAGCGAGAACAAGAACGGTGAATTCACAAAAAAGGCCAGGAGAATCAGCCCAGAGATGGGGAAGTCCAGGGTGTATTGTATGCAAAATGCCGGTGACGAGGAAGAACTCGCAAGCATCCTCGAGATGACGAGGATGAGAGGACGCATTCCTTCAATTGTTCGGCTTTTTCAATTCACCGCGCTACTCCGAGCCGATGTGATTGGCCAGATGGTAATTCACCGAGGGGCATGATATAAATCGCCGGCGATGGACGTGACTCTTTGGAGAAGTCGAATCCTTGCCGAAATCCACCGTTTGCTAATGCTGTCGTGATTACTTTTCTGATGAGGCTATTTCCGTGGCTGCAGCGGAAATGCAGCAGAGAAATCATGTCGGTTTATTCTTGTGGCGGGTGAATACACCGGCCAGTGAGAATAGCGACATGAAAAGACCATTGCGAAAATGTCACGATATAAGGAGCTGGAATCATGGTTGAGTTTAGATTCTACCGCAGAGCTCAAAGTTGTTATCAATCAAGCTCATTAAGACACAGTTTTTCAATCTCTTTGACGTCTTCACCATGTCCACCCCTGACAACTCCAAGCCGCTCTCAGGAGCAACCACACCAGATCACGATTTGTCAGACACACTGAACGACACTCGTCCAGGATCCGAAGACCAGCAACTCGAAAAGACGGATGAAAACGAATTTCCTGACGGTGGACTTCGAGCATGGCTTGTTGCGATTGGCGCAGCGGGAGCTTTCTTCTGTACTCTCGGATACACCAACGTCTTTGGCATCTTTCAGGCCTACTACATGTTCAACCAGATGCCCGAGAGGAGCGCCGACGACATTGCCTGGATTGGATCTATTCAGGGCTTCCTAATCTTTGCTACCGGTGCTGTAGGAGGACCTTTATTTGACCGCTATGGTGCTTGGGTGTGTAATTCCCCCTGAATGTGATGATGTTAACTAACACTTATAGCTTATCCGTCCTGCTGCGGTGCTATACATCTTTGCAATCATGATGACAAGCATCTGCAAAGAATACTGGCAGTTCATGCTCGCGCAAGGCGTTCTAACCGGTCTCGCCAACGGACTCCTCATGTTCCCAGCCCTCGCCGCTGTGCCGCAGTGGTTCAACGCCAACCGCGGCGCAGCCATGGGCCTCTCCATCGCCGGATCCTCGCTCGGAGCTGTCGTCTTCCCCATCGTGCTATCTAAGCTGCTCACAAAGACGGACTTGGGTTTCGGCTGGTCGGTCCGAATCACGGCCTTTGTCATGCTTCCTATCCTAGCCTTTTCCGCCGTCTGCATTCGTGCGAGACTTCCACCAAGACGCACTCGATTCTTTCTCTGGAGTTCGTTCAAGCAGCCTATGTATGTGCTCCTCATCATCTCGCTCTTCTTTGGTATGGTTGGCATGTATGTTCCTCTGTTCCTGCTGCCAACTTATGCCATCACCAAGGGCATGAGCGAAAGTTTGGCGAGTTACATGGTGGCTATCATCAACGCGGCGTCCATCTTTGGACGAATCATCCCTGGTGTTCTCGGCGACAAGTTTGGACGTATTAACACCCTCATCGGAGCTACCGCGGCCACGAGCATCATCGTCTTTTGCTGGCCCGAGGCAGAGACCAACGCCTCCATCATCGTCATCTCGGCTTTTTTCGGCTTCTGTTCAGGCGCAATCATCTCAGGCGGTTCCGTGGCAGTAACTCTCTGCACCGACGATCCCAAAAACATTGGCACATACATGGGCGTGGGCATGGGACTGGCTTCGTTCTCAGCTCTGATCGGCCCCCCTGTCAGCGGCGCCATGATTGACAAGTATGATAGATTTCAGGAGGTATCATACTTTGCTGGTGCCATGACAATGTTTGGAGCTTTGGTTGCTGTTGCTGCCAAATGGGCATCGCCAAAGGGGCTCTTCGGGAGGACTTAGAGGAGCATGGGAGGATTGAAATAGACGTTAAGAGAAGACTTAGATGTATAAATTGGTGAGTTTAACAAGGCGAAGGAGAATTGGAAAGTCTAGATTGTAAGTTAGGATGAGAGTAGTGTATGTAGATCTTGATCTCCTATTCATATGATAAAAGTAGATAGAATGAAAAGATAATGTTTAATCGACCTTATTGGCTAGCTATTCTAAATCTTCAATTATCGGTGTATGGTAAGTATATGTTCATTTCCTACCTTCGAGTTAGTGAACAAAGTCAAGTCGAGATGACTCGACTGAGAGAAACTCACCTCATTATCCTGCCTTCGATTACTCCCTGACCTCCTCAATGATAGACTCGCCCTCAGATCTATCCCCACTCGTCCACTTCCATTTCTCATGCATTCTCAACCGTCCATCAGCCAAAACCTCAGGCGTCGACTTGCACTGTCCCGTCATGAGCTCTCCCTCCTTGTTGACGTGCTGATATCTCATATCCAAGCTGTTATCCTCTTCCTTGACAGTCGCGATCAATGTACCCCGGACAATGGAGCCGCCCGAATATTCCGCCCACACAATCTTGCCGTCTTGGTGATAGTGGAAGCGCGTCTCGGCGCCGACTTCGCCGTTGGACGTGTTGGAGGCCGAGCCAAAGACTTTGCCGTCGTAGAGGCTCATTTTGAGGGATGCTGTACTTGTCGAGAAGTACAGTTGTCGGTGATTGTTGAATTGACGGGAAGCTCTGGCAACACGGTAAAAGAGCATGATGAAAAGACGAATATTGAGAGCCTGGCCGTTTTATATATTCACCTCTGCATACCTACCTAATTAAGTACCTAGCTCTACCCATATCGAGCGGAGACTGCCGATTGCGGGGTTCAATCTACCATCGTGACGGTTTGAGACGGTTCGGGACGGTGTTTTGCTCACCGAGATGCCCGATATACGGAGACGCCAAGATCTACAGCAATCCAGGGGCACGAGGGTTTGTGACTCAGATTGGCCGCTTGCTGTCTCAATGTGGAACAAAACTGTTAGTCTCACGGGATAATCAGCATCTATTGTCTTGTCATCTCAACTTCACTAGGCAAGGCGAATGTTAAACAGGAAACCTGAGTGAGGGCATATGCAATAGATTCTTTGTCCAAAACACCCCCCAAAGGTAAAAAGATATAGCATTAAGTAGTCAAGGGTCATTGTACACGGGCTTTTCCGGCCTCGTAAAATCCTCCACAAGCACTGCGGCGTGGGAAGAACGACGAATCTCCATGGGTTTCCCTCATAGACCTCCCCATCGTTTTGTCTCACCGGCCTCCACCGTGAACCTCTCTCGAGGATTTCCCCCGAGGTGTCCCGGGTGAACTCCTTACCGCTCCTCTGCCCGTCCAGCCAGAGATCGATCCTCCTCCTATTCTATAAAAAAGACATATCCTCGCTTCCCATTGGACCATCATCCTTCCCCGTTGCTAAGCATTCAGAGGTCTGTTGTACTGCCTTGACCTTACAGAAGCAGCTCAAGGGGGTTCTCGAGGACCTTCTTGAGCTCACGGAGCCACTCAGCGCCGATAGCACCATCAACGACCTTGTGGTCGAAGCTGGCAGTGAGGCTGATCTGGTCGTCAAACTCGACACCGGCGCTGCCGTCCTCGTTCTGGGCGGGGACAGCAACCTTGCGGGTGGTGCCGACGGCGAGGATGGCGGCCTGGGGAGGGTTGATGACGGCGGTGAAGTGGTCAACGGCGGGGTTCATGCCCATGTTGGAGATGGAGATGGTACCACCCTGGTACTCCTCGGGCTTGAGCTTGCCGTCGCGGGCCTTCTTGGCGAGTTCCTTGACCTTGGAGGAGATGGCCTCGAGGCCACGGCCCTCAACACCGGTGACGATGGGGGTGATGAGACCAGTGGGGGTGGAGACGGCGACCGAGACGTCAACGCTGTTGAACTGGCGGATGTTGCCCTCGCGCCAGCTGGAGTTGACCTGGGGAACCTTGCGGCTGGCAATGGCCATGGCCTTGATGAGGAAGTCATTGACGGACAGCTTGTACTTGCCATCGGCAGAGCTGTTGAGAGCCTGGCGGAGCTTGAGCAGCTTGCTGACCGAGACGGAGCTGGTGACGTAGAAGTGAGGGTTGGTCTGGGTGGACTCGACCAGGCGGTTGGCAATGGTCTTGCGCATGCTGCTGATGGGGGTGTCCTCAAAGGTGGCACCGGGAGCAGCAGCAACGGGGCTGCTGAGGGCCTTCTTGACATCCTCCTCAGTGATCTTGCCACCCTGACCGGTGCCCTTCAGGCTATCGATGCTGATGCCGTTCTCGCGGGCGAGTCGCTTGGCGGCGGCGCTCATGTTGGGCTCACGATCGAGAGCAGTCTGGAGTCGGCCCTCGGAAGAGGTGTACTGCTCGGGCTCAGGAGTAGACGCGGGAGTGGACGAGGGCTCGGACTTGGACTCGGTCTTCTCCTCCTTGGGGGCAGCGGGGGCGGCGGCACCACCAGCATCCTCAATGGAGAACTTCTCAAAGGCGGAAATATCGGTACCCTCCTCGACGAGAACGGCGATGGGCTATAGAGAAGAAGGAGAACAAGTCAGTGTCATGATGCAACAAATTGGTGGATGCTCGGGGCCAGGAGCAAGATACCCCGAGACCCGAAAAGTGGCCCGAGGGGGAACAGAAAAATGGACGACTTACGCTGCCAACAGGAACATCCTTCTCGCCAGACTCCTTGAGGATCTTGGCAATAACACCCTCCTCCTGGAACTCAAAGTCCATCTGGGCCTTGTCGGTCTCGATCTCTACCAGGACGTCGCCGGGGGCGATGGAGTCACCGGGCTTCTTCTGCCAGGATCCGATGTTGCCATGTTGCATGGTGGGCGACAGAGCGGGCATCTTGACGACCTGGTGCTCAGGGAACGAGGCATAGTGTCGCACGACATGCGCGGCGAAGCCGGTTCGCAGGGCATTGTGGGTAGGGGCGAGGAGTCGCCTCCGGAGAGCGACGCTGAGCATTGTCGGGAGGGAATTAATATCTCTCTAGATGGCGGAGAAGGGATGTTAGCGAGCGACATACGAGCGCGAATATGGGCTGACGCAGGCCAGAGAGGCGTGGGGGGAAAAGCACTCACCAGCCAAGATGGGCAATTGAGGGGAATTGAGGTTCGTGACTGACGGCCACGGACGAGGCGAGAGGAGTGGGATATCGGGGGCGGAGAGAGATGAAGCTCTTGCGTGAGAGGGAGAGGGAGAGAGGATGGGACGGGATGGGAAATTCTTGGGGTTGGTTCGACGTGGAGTTTTTTGCGTCCCGTCCAGTCCCAGTTGCGTTGAGCTCCGACGACTGAGGTACTTTGAAGCTTTGGGGACGTGCTAAACCCATTTGGGCCCTAGCGCGGGAGCGCCGTGGCCTCTGCAAGGCCCCTGCAGCCACCGCGAGACCCAGATCCCACCGTTGAGAGGGCAGCGACATAGGCGAGCTCAGGAAGTTTTAGGGCATCGCCAGCGCCGTTTTGCGAGGCATTTAGGGGAGGGGACCACTGTAAGCCCACGGGACTTGTGGTTCCTTGCCCCGCCAGAGTGAAGCTTCCTTGGACTTTTCATCATGTTACCTCTTGAGCGCCTCGGGGCATCATTGCGCGACATCAGCGAAGTCCGGGGGATTGAGAGCATCCAAGCATGTTTGACAGTGTCATGAGTTCTGATGAACTGCATTGTCTATACAATTATGATAATCAATCATCCATCAACCAAATTATTCCACCCTCGATGCCCAGGGCTCCAAGTCCTTATCAGCAAGAAAAAAGACAAAGACTTCCTGAGGTTTTGTTGTTGAGACAATTTACCACGGGTACCTCATCCCCGTCCCGTCTTCGCCCTTTGGTCAATCCAATTTTTTTTCTTGCCTGCAACGTCTTTTTTCTAGCTTCGGGCTTTTGATCGGCCCGAAGTGACCCGACGGTTGAGGATTAGGTAATGCACGTTGAACCGCCATCCCACGCCAACGGTTGGTGCCAAGACCAGAGCTGAATAGCTTCATCCATATTGTCTTTTTGCCTAATGACTGGTGGTGAATTTGGCAATCATTGAACTTCACTGAATGTGAGTGTAAAACTTAAATACTTTGAAACTATCGATAGTAAAAAAAGTATATACTAGCAAGATTCATACCTCATATTACGATTCTATTACAAATAGATGATGCCTCTATATATACTTTTCCATTTCCCTTCATATTCATCCCAAAAAAAAGAACTTCATTGTGCAGAAGCCCACCACACCTTGACCATCTCCTTTGGTCCGCTCCACGCCGTGAGCGACCTCTTCTTCCTGGGCCGCGCACCATTACTATCCTTGGAACCCGAGGTGGGTGGGCTCTCCTTTCCGACCAGGACCGACTTTCTCTGGGTGCTGTCTGCCCCAAGCTCTGCCGTTCCCCTGCTGACGGTTCCGACCCTGTCCATTGGTCTGAGCCTGTCGGGTCTTGGTGGTATAGGCCTTAGTTCTAGCTCTTCTGGTATGTGATCTTCCGTCACGGTGGCTCGGATGCCAAAGAAGCCTTCCTCTTTTCTCTTGCGTCTGTCTCGTCTCGGTCTGCTTCGTCCGCCGTCCCAACCTAGCTCAAACTGCGCTTCATCGCCGAATGCGTTTTCGAGTTCATTCATGGGTTGCCACTGAGCACCTCGAGGTAGTAGCTTCAACATGTTACCGTCGACGATCAACGCAGCAGTAGATGCAATCGTAGTCGGCGGTCGAGGAAGTCGAAGTCTTCTGGTCAAGATCCAGGACATGATGTGTAGTAGAAGCAACGCACCCACAAGACCTTGTAGAATACGTGTGGCAATTGGATCCTGGCGAAGTCTAACCTTTTCCGAGAGTTTTGAGCCGCTGATGATGGGAACAGCCTGCGAAACGGGTGCATTGGGGTCGACACCGCTGATGATATTCTGTCCGTCTGCCGAAGGAAATGTGCCCCTTGAAGAGAGACGGCGGCGGCTCTTCAGGTTGAGAGATTGAGCCCTTATGATACCATGCTGGAGGAGGATAGCAGATTGAACCTGCCTTGCGTCGTTGGCAGATGAGCCGCCGAGAACGCTCTCTGGAACGGCGAGCCAGGAGGCGTTCAAAGTTGCAAAGAACGAGTCAAATAGGGCGTTGGAAGAGACGTTGACGAGAGATGAGTAGTCCAGTCTCGGGATAGCAACGGTCGTATTTATGGCTGTCGTCTCGACAAGGGCTGGAGGAGTGTCCGGGTATAGATGCAGCTCAGGCCCATGAAGAACAACATCGGCATCGAGCGCCTGAATGGTTTCATTGCAGGCAAGAGCGCCGATGCTGCTAACAGACATGTCGTCGGTGTCCATGTCAACCAACCGTCCCCAGACGTATAACCAGTCAGAGCATTGTGATGTCGAGTTCGTCTTCCTCTGCCCAACGCCAAACAAGGTTGAATCCTCGTTGATTTCCTGGACCGGTGACGACAGTGCAGTTCTCGTGGTTCCGATAATGGCGTTGCTCCCGTCTCGCTCCGTGTCTCCCCGGCATGTTTCACCCTCCAGGTCAATTCGTAAAGGGTTGACGATCTTGTCATCCAGCTTGTACTCGAGCGTAAGGTTGGTAGATATCTCATCGGACAGGTAAAGTCGACAAGTCATGTTTGGGCGGATTGCCGTTAGTCGGACACTGACT